CTGGGAATTGCAGAGTTCAGGTATCTATTTTTTGTTGTTTTTTTCTGTTGTTGTTTTTTGAGACAGGGTCTTGTTATGTAGTTCAGGCTGACCATGATCTCACTATGTAGCCCAGGCTGGCCTCAGACATGCAGTGATCCTTCTGCCTCAGCCTCCCTAGTGCTGGCATTACAGGCATGCGCCACCACAGCTGGCTGTAAGTATCCATTACTTTAAAGCATTCCGATTCATTCTAATGTACAGCCAGAGCTGAGAACCACTGCTCTAGCCCTATCTGATTATACAAATATGGACAATAAGTCCCAGAGAGGGGCAGGAAAAGGGATGGCTTGCCCTAAGTCCCCCAGTGAATGAAATGCAAGACCAGGATTGGATCTCTGATCTCTGATTCTTAGTCCAGTTCTTGAAAAGTGATTTTCTTAGCATGGCTTGAGACCTTGGGTTCAACCCCCCAACACACATGCACACACAATGTCTCCCCCCCCCCCGCCCACTTACTGGGGATTGAACCTAGAGCCCTTGCACTGAGCTACACCCCCCGCCCTTTTAGACAGGGTCTCACTAAGTTGCTCAGGCTAGACTCAAATTTGCAACCCTGCCTCAGCCTTCCAGAGTACTAGGATTACACATGTACACCACTGCACCCAGCTAAAAAGTCATTTTCTTAGAAGGCAGTAAGTCCTGATACTGTCTCAGCTTCTATTGAGTGTCTGGTATAGAGCAGTGGTGGCAAACCTATGGCATATGCGCCATAGCCAGCAGTTTATCATCATCAAAACCTCTAAAAGGTTCATCGCTGTTCTAGAGCCTCTGGGTTATCTGGGAGTTGTACAGTAGCAAACACCAGGGTCATGCGTTGGATTTCACTGTGAAACGAGTCCTCTCCAGTACTTTCTGCCATCGAGTGTCCCACTGTGTTGCAGTGCTTTGTGAGGCCCGGGGATACAAACAGGTCTGGCAGGGAAGGTGGGCAGATGGAAGGCGTTCTGATGCGCATGACAACGGCCATGTGACACTCCATGATTCTGTCTCCTGCTCCCACTTATTTTTTTCCTTTAACAGGTCCTGGCCATACTTTACACCTATTTTAAGTTGATTATAGATTCTCAGGCTGATCTCTCTCCATCAGCCTTTAGTCATCCTGCAATGGACCACCAGCAGAGACAACCGTGGGCTGGGTCTCAGAACCCTAACTTTGCCTAATTTGTGATTAGACCTCAGGCATGGCCCTGAACCTCTTCTGATATTTTCTCTGCAGTAGAACGGCACGGTATTGTGTTACTTTCTCTGGTTGTCTCCCTGCGTTGGAAGGAGGCTCCAAATCATAGGTTGTGCACATCAAAGTGCTTCTGAAGCGGTCACAGGCCCTACAGTAGTGATGTGGTTTTATCTGCTACAGTGGCCAGCACTGAATCTTTAGTTTGACCAGGCACCATTCAGAGACAAGCCGTTAAACTCCACAAATAAACCAGGACAAGAATAGGATTGTTGTTTCCTATTTTAGAGATGAGGAAACTGATGACATCAGGTTGTTACTTTCCTCAGGTGACAGAGCTACAGTTCAAGCACTGGGCAGGCTGGCTGGCTCCTGAGTTTAAACTCATGCTTTACTGTCCACCCCCAAGTGGCAGACTGATTCTGGTCCTAGCTATGCTTTCTATAATCTTGGTTCAGTTTACCCATCTGTAAAATGGAGTGAGGTATGAAGCAGGTGTGGTAAACTCGGATGTCTAAATGATCAGAGAGTCAGCTGTCAAATAGTTTCTTGCATTGTATTGGCCCCCTAAGTTCTCTCCCAACCACGGAGAACTCTGTATCCTTAACACAGAGATACCCAGTCTCCCTCAGCCAGAGAGAGAAATGATGGTGCTAGCAGAAAGGCTACAGAAGAGAGGACCTGTCCTCCCACGCGCCACGCACTGCATGGTGCCCAGCAGCTCCTCTGTCCTGTGGCTTGACACCCTCTGGCTCAGCCCTGTTTCACTATGGTAGAATTGCTGGTTGAGGCGAGGCTTCCCCGTAAGGAGATCCTCTGTGGTCAACAAATAGCTCCTAGGATACTAAACAGGTCCTACCTGCCAGGTCCTCAGCTTGACTACAGGGACCAGTAGATCCAGTCGGCCCCTTTTTCAAGGACTTCACAGTCTCCAAGGGGAAACAGATCTGTAAACAGCTAATGCTAATGCAAAATACATGAATATTCAGTAAGTAGAAACAGCCTTCGTGCTCTGGGAGCAAAGAGGGAGAGCATTTGCCCAAAACCTCGAACACAGTGTCGAAGAGGAAGGGAAGGGCGTTCCCAGGTGGAGCGCAGTGTGAGCCAAGGCCTGCGCTAGGAAGTCCGAGGCTTGTCCTCGGAAAGGCAGATGCCCAGGGAGCCTAGCTCTAGGCAAGTTGGAGGGAAACGAGAGGAGCTTGGAAGGGAAACCTGGGGTCAGACCATGGGGAGCCTTAAATGCCAGTGAAGCGATGGCCTGAGGAAGGAGGTTTCTGAGCCCTGGGGACCCCTATGTGAGACCAATTTACGGAATGCCCTGCCTCCCCTCAGGACAAGAAGTGCCCCCTCTCACACAGCAGCATCTTACCCTCAATGGTTTGCCAGCTTGACAGCTCCCACTCTGCCACCCTTCCTTCCCTCAGCCAACCCTGTAAGTGCATCCAGATGGTCATTCCTATTTTCGGTCAGTGTACGTGTTGGGGGAGGAGTAGCTCTGAACCCTGTCAATCCTGCTCCAAATGCTTCATGTAAAGGAGCTTCTTCCAGGCCCCCGTTGTGATCCTCTGAGCCTGGGAGGCAGTGTTAGCCTTTGATGGAGGTTTCCCATCTGTCTGTGGGTGAAAAGGAAAGCAGAAGCAAAGGCAGTAAGGACACAAGCCAGGGAAGCTGTTACACTGGGTGAGAACCAAGGGGGGCTGTGTGTAAGAAGGGGCCCTGTGGGCAGGCCGCGGCGGAGAACAAGCTTGAGAGGCTCCAGAAGGGTCGGAGAAGCAGCTGGCTCCTGCCGCCAGCTACCTGGCCATCATACTTCTGCAGCTGACCAGGCCAAAAGGAGGACAACACAGGCTATAAAGAAGGGAGCTAGGGCTCTGCTCAGAACCTATGCCTCGGCACCGTGCCCACCAATCTCCAGGAGGACCACACAAAGGCTCATAGCAGCCAGGCACATACTGCCCGCCTGTAGTCCCAGCACTGAGAGAGGCTGAGGCAAGAGGATCACAAATTCAAATCCCACCTGGGTAATTTTCTGAGACCCTGTCTCTAAATATATAAATCGCTAGAGACACTGTTGCTCAGTGGTAGAGCATTCCTGGGTTTAATTCACAGAGCCAAAAAAAAAAGGATTCGAAGTTCAAGCCCAGCCTGGGCAGTTTAGTAATTTAGGGAGAACTTATCTCAAAATTTTAAAAACCTAGGGATATAATTCAATGTGAAATTCAATTCAATTCCCAGTACCTAAATAGAGCCTAGGAGTATAGCTCAAATGTAGCCCCTCCCTGGGTTCAATCTTAAAAACAGCAACAACAAAAAAAAGCTTTATGCAGTAGAGAAGTAGCAGCATGCACAAAGCCCCGGGTTCAGTACCATCAAAGAAAAATTTTTAAGTTAATCATTTATTCATTGGACAACTGTATATTGTAGACCTAATCTATTCCAACCCTGTGTAGGAAGCTGGTTGCTAACCTTCAGGGATCACACATTGCAAGAGCCACAGAACAGGTACGAACATCCTCAAAGAACTTTTGAGTGAGCCAAGGATGGTGGCACACACCTGTAATCTCATCAGTCTGGGAGGCTGAGGCAGGAGGATTGCAAGTTCAAACCCAGCTTGGGTGATTTAGCAAGATACTGTCTCAAAATTTAAAAATTAGAAAAGAGCTCGGGATATAGTTCAGTGTGAAGGTCCAGTACACACACACACACACACACACACACACACACACACACACACAGAATTTTGGATGGGGTAGAATTATTTTCAGCTGTGATAAAAAGGACTTTAGAGTTACACAGCAGAAACATACCAAGAAATGCATTAAAGTATTATATTTCCAAAAGAGGAACGCTGGTTTTCCACAGATCAGCACTAAGGAAGAGTAACTGAATGGAAACAAAACTGTGCCAAAAAACGCAGTTCTCACCGTCCCGAGTGGGTCTGTCCATACCTTCCTTTAGCCTGACTTTTATGGGCTGCCTTCCTTCTTTTCTTCCGCACCCCCCCCCACTCTCCCCTCAGTAGATTTCATTTCTTTTGTCTATCTTGACATCCTTCTAAAAAGCAAAAGAAAAAATAAATAAATAAAAGCCAAAAGACTCCAAAACTGGAGCCTGGCCTCTCGGGCTTACTGGGGTGTGATCTCATACAACGGCGTAATTTCTCTGAGCCCGGGTTTCCCATTTATACAGTGAAGGGATTAGATCACATCTGATGTTGTGATTTTACTCCAGCCAGGACATTCAGTCTTCTGCACACAGGGATGCACGCTGCATCCACCCCCCTCCCTGTGCCACCTTGTCAAACACAACACTCAACAATCTTCGATTCGGTGAATGGGTCTGTTTGTCTTCTACCACTACCTCGTGGGAGGCCGCAGAAAAGGGCAAAAGAAATATAAAGACTTTGGATTTGAGTCGTGGCGCCTTAACCTCCCCTGTAAAGCTTCAGCTGCTCACTTGTAACATGGGAGAAATACCTAAATTTGAGTGTCTACTCAGTTTACGGGAATTAGAAATAATGTGTGTCAAGTGGTTGGCACCTAACAAGTGCTCAATAAATGCACGTGCAGTACACCTATTGGAAGCCCTGGGATTACTGAATCCGAGAGTTGGCGGTCGTTCTACCGAGCCAGACTGAGAGCTGCCTGTGGGCAACGCAGCCTGCAAATCGTCAGCCGGCCCCACGAAACGGGGGAAGCCGGCCCGGCCCATAGAGACTTGACTCTAATTCCCGGGGGGAAGGCCGAGCAGCGCGGACCCCACCTCCAGGAAGTGACGCTACGGGGACTAGCAGCACCGGAGCTGGTCCGGCTGGAGCGGGGCGCGCGCAGCATGGCGGAAGCGGAAGGGAGTTCTCCGCTCCTGTTGCCGCCGCTGCCGCCCCCTCCCGGAATGGCGGAAGTGGAGGTGCCGACGGCGGCCGAGACGGACATGAAGCATTACCACGGCTCTGGCTCCGTCATCATGGACGTGGAGCGGAGCCGCTTCCCTTACTGCGTGGTGTGGACGCCCATCCCGGTGCTTACGTGAGTTTCCTCTCGTGTGCGCGCGGGAACGAGGAGGGCTCGGGGAGAGCCCGGGCCTTCGCGGCGACCTCGGGCGAGCGCGGACCAGCCTCCGGCCCCTGCGCGCAGCCAGCCCTTTTTCGGGATGCCACCCGCAAGGTGCCTGTTCCCACCGCAGGGAACACGCTCCCGGGCCTCGTGCCGCCTGGTCCAGTCCGGGACAAAGACAAGTGCAGGGCGGCGGAAGGCCGGGGGCCGGGAAGCTCGCGAGCCGCAGGCGTGCAGAAGGGGCCCCTAACCTGCTCGTGAGGAGACGCCGTCATTCCCTGACGGGTTTATTCACTCTAGAACAGATGCTTACTGATCACTCAGGCCCAGGGCTTCCTGCTGCGTCGGGGAGGAAGGGTGGGATGACATCCCGCGCTCCTGGGATGTCAACATTGGTTCGGTTGCAAAGCAGGTGCCGGTCCCAGGGCGTCTGCTTCCTGGATGAAGGTTCTGTAGAGAAGCAGGTTCTGTAAAGGCCAGGGGAGGAGCAGGTACAAGGGTGCCGTTTGCTGCCCTCCGGTTTCGGCATTGACGGCTGGTAACAGTAACCGCTCCTCCAGGTGTGGGACAGTTTGCTAATCTCTTACTGCCATTTACGCTGAATTTCACCACCACTTTTAAGGTAGGCTTATCTCGTCCCGTGGGAAAGCTGAGCTGCTTATAGCACTGTCTTGGTCAAGGTCCTGCCCCCGTAAGCAGAAGCATTCAAAATTCAAGTCTTCTGACTGTCTACTGTCTAACTTACTGTCTTTCTTTTTTTTAACTTACTGTCCTTCATATTTTTTTTTCTCTCTCTTTGAAGCAGGGTCTCACTATGTAGCCCAAACTGGCCTTAAACTCTCAAGGATTGTCCTGCCTCAGCCTTCTGAGTGCTGGGATTACAGACGTGCACCTGCATGCTTCCCTTAAACTACAGATTATCCCTCTCACTAAATGGAATAGTTTTGTTTCTTTTATCAAAAACAGCCAAGAAAATGGCATGGTGGCGCATGCCTGTAATCCTAGCTACTTAGGAGGCTGAGTCAGGAGAATCACAAGTTCAAAGCCAACCTAAGCAATTTAATGAAACTTTATCAGAATAAAAAAAGGCTGGGAGTGCAGCTCAGTGTTCCCTGAGTTCAATCGCTAGTACCACCAAAAAAAAAACAAAACAAAAAAAAAACGAGTGATGATGTGGCCTTATATGTATGCTGCTGATCCTAAAATGGCTTTAATTTTTGTATTTTGCTTAAAATACTTGAATTGTTTCAAATGCTTATGAGTTTAAGAGCATCCAAATCTGAGGGGTTTTGTTTGTTTTTTGTTTTGTTTTGTTTTGTTTTGTTTTGAGACAGGGTCTCACTGTGCAGTTCAGGCTGACTTGAGCTCACTTTGTAGCCCAGGCTGGTCTCGAACTCGCAACAATCCTCCTGCCTCAGCCTCCGGAGTGCTGGGATTACAGGTGTGAGCTATTAAGCCCAGCTCAAATCTGAGGTTTTTTGTCTCTTTTTTTTTGTTTTTTTTTCCAGTACTGGGAATCAAACTCATGACCTCACGCTTGCCAGGCAGGCACTGTGCTGCTGAGCTAAATCCCCAGCCCCTCAAATCTGAGCTTTTAAAAATAAAATATTTAAGAATATCTGTTCATCAATTCATTCAATGTTCTTTTTTGTTTGTTTTTTGAGACAAGGTCTCACTCTGGAGACCAGACCGGCCTCAAACTCACAGCAATCCTCCTGCCTCAGCCTCCCAAGTGCTGGGGTTACAGGTGTGCACAACCACCCTCAGCTTAATGTTCTTTTTTAACACATTTGCTGAGAGACTTGTATGTACCCAGATCTGTAGGTGCTAAGAATGTACAGTGGTGAATAAAGCAAATGCAATAATTGCTCTCATAGAATTTTCTTTGTTGCAATGCTAGGAATTAAACCCAGGGAATGCTGAGGTATATCGCTACCTTTTGTTTTGTTTTGAGACAAGGCTGCCCAGACCAGGCTTGAACTTGTGATCTGCCTGCCTTAGCCTCCCAAGTAGCTGGGATTACAGGTATGTGCCACTATGCCAGGCTCTTACCCAGTTTACCTCATGGTGGAAGGTGTAGAAAGTAAACTAACAAAAAAAAACTTCTGTTAGTGGTGAATGCTATGAAGAAAATTAAATGTTAATGTATAAGTAACTGGGAAGAATACTTAGGAGACGTATTGATTTTGCCAAAACCTATCCTGTTATCGTAAGGGCTGTTTGGCCCTTCCTCATTTTCAAATACACCATGGTCCACTGCAGAGAACTGGTAGCAGCGTGAGGTGGAGATGCTAGACCCCCAGTCATCTGGACTAGAAGCAGCTCACATCCCCTTTCTCCCCAGATCTGTGTGCAGAGGTATCCGTAACACCAAGGTGAACAGGGGCTCAGGCTCCCTTTGGAGGTCTTGCCCTGGGCGGAAAGGGAGGGAGACCAGCGGACTAACCCTTGTAAGACACTTCATTGTTTCTGAAAATGGACAGAACTAGGAACAAATGTGCTACAAGGAACCACATCTGTCTTTGGAGGAGAAATCAGAGGAGGAAACCGAATCGGAAAATCTGTCTGCCTCCTCAGGGATGTTAATAATTCTGCATGCAAAGCCCAGTGATAGCTGCTGCTGCCACCAGTAAAAACAACCCAGGTTGGGTGCTTCCTCCGTTCTGAGCTCTGTTCTAAACATTTCACGTTCACTGTCGCTAGTCCTTACATCAACCTGTGAGAACAGACCCTGTTCCCTCCTCCAGGGCATAGGAAATAAAAGCCTAGAAAGCTGCATGGCGTTTTCCCGCGGAGACAGTCTGCCTTCCCAGTAGAGTTCAAGGATTCATTCCAAGGACCTCTTTACGTAGTGGTCCTGAGCAGACACTGTCCACAGAGCAGCGCTGGAGCTCGCCTTCCTAGAGCTTCCAGAGTGACGGTCTACTTTGAGGGTTACTTTGGGGCTTCCACCAGCTATGAGGCCCTGCTCTTTTCTGCAGCAGCTTAGAACTCATCTCTGTTGCATCCGCAGCCACCAGCACAACTGCGGTGTGTGGAGCACTGGTCAAAGCCAGACCTCCTCCCAGTCAAGGAGTCGGGGGCCGGAGCAGATCCTGAGGTTAGGGTCTAAGAAGCCAGGTGAGCTATTTGCCCATAATTCTAAGTGTCCATCTTATGGCCCTTGTGGGTCCTCAACAACTTACTCCTTGACAGTTCAGTCAGCCAGATAGGAAGTATTTATTGAATACTTGAAGATAGTAACTATGATATATAAGGTAGAACTCTCAGCACTTTGCAAGCAGATCCTATGTACTCCTTACAGCCACCTGTCAAGGTGCTTATTACTGTCCACAGAGGGACAGGAATGAGTAACTTGCCCACGACTATGCCTAGATCCAACATTGGAACCAAACTCCACTCTTTTTCTAATTGGCACATAGTAATTGTATAGACTTATGGGGCATAACATGACATTTCAATACTAGTTTAAAATATGTAATGATCATAGCTGGGTGTGGTGGCAAATGCCTGTCATCCTAGCATTCTGGGCAGCTGAGGCAGGAGGATCTCAAGTTCAAACTCAGCCTGGGCAACTTGAGAGAGACCTTGTCTCACAGTTTTTATAAAAAGAGAATGGCTAGGAATGTGGCTCAGTATGAAGGCCCTGGGAATGGGGGAAAAAATAAATATACATATATATATTTTAAGTATATATATACACACTATATATGCTAATATATATATGAGATCAGATTAGGGTGATTGGAATATCCATCACCTGAGACATCATTTCTCTGTCTAGCTATTTAAAAATACATAATTGAAGGGCCGGAGATACAGCTCAGTGGCACAGCGCCTGCCTGGAAAGCACAAGGTCGTGAGTTTGATTCCTGGTACCAAAAAAAAACAAAAACAAAAACAAACTTTGGGGCTGGGGATTTAGCTCAGCGGCACAACGCCTGCCTGGCAAGCGCGAGGTCGTGAGTTCGATTCCCAGTACTGGAAAAATACCAATAAATAAATAAATAAATAAATAAAAATAAAAATACATAATTGAAAAAAATTAAACAATTTTTGTCAACTATAGTTATAGCACTGTGTATAGAATATTAGAGGTTATTCCTCCTATTAGCTGCACCCCCTCCATTCTTACATGCAGGGCATTTGTTCCATTTCATTAAAAAGCATTTGAATGCAGCTATATACCAGGCACTGCCATAAGGGCTACTACAGCAGACATACTTGTTCTCATGGAATTTAAGTTTTGTGGGGAAAGATGGTCATCATATAATTTCAGGTAGTAGTGCATAGATGCTTTGAAGAAAGTGAAGCACAGTTGGGTGCGGTGCATGCCTGTAATCCCAGCACTCAGGAGGCTGAGGCAGGAGGATCACCCTGAGTTCGAGGCCAGCCTGGGCTGCAAAGTGAGTTCGAAGCCAGCCTGCACTGCATAGCAAGACCCTGTCTTCATTTAAAAAATGTGTGTGTGTGTGTGTGTGTGTGTGTGTGTATCTTCATATATGTGAAATAAAAGAAGGAAGGATAGCAAAGCAGGATAACAGAGCTGGGGTGTCCGGACTGTGTGTGGCTGTCTAGCATCCTCTGACCTGGCCTCCCTCCTCCCATCTGCCCTCCCATTCCTCATACATAGGCTATACTTTCCTGCTTTGGAGTTTTCCTTTCTGCCTGTCCATATCCTGTCCTTTTGCAGGTCAAAGTTAAAAGTTACCTCTGTAATGTCTTTGGTGACACCACCTCAGCCCCGTGTCATTGCCCCCACCTCCATAGCAAGGTGCTTAGTGTTCAGCCCGGTACCTTGAGGCTGGGACCAGGCTGCTGGCCTTGTGAGGCCCGCTCAAGCTGGACATCTGTTTCCATTACATACTTTCTGTACTGTGCTGTATTCTGTTCTGTTATATAACACACTCTATGGCTGGGCTTCCTATGTGTTATATAGTAGGGTCCATCTGAGATTTGTGGGGTTTTTGTTTGTTTTCTTTTTGGTAGCAGGGATTATACCCAGAGCCTAATGCATGCTAGGCAAGTGCTTTACCAATAAGCTACATCCTCAGATATTTTTAATTTTAGACAGAGTCTTGCCAAGTTGCCAGTCTGGACTTGAACTTGCAATCCTCTTGCCCCAGCCTCCTGAGAAGCTGGGACCATAGATGTACACCACCATGCCTGGCTGCCATGGAGGCAGTTTTTCAAAAGTAAATCTCATAGGGCATCGTGATACACACCTATAATCTCAGCTACTCAGAAGGTTCAGGTAGAAGAATCACTTGAGCCTGGAATTCCAAGGCCACAGTGGGTAATACAGACCCTGTCTAAAAAAAATAAATAAAAGGGGCTGGAGTGTAGCTCAGTGATAAAGCACTTGTCTAATAAGCATAAGGCCTTCAGTTTAATCCTCAGCACTGCAAATAATAATACCCAGGTGTGATGGTGCATGCATATAAGCCTGTAACCCCAACACTCCAGAGGCTGAGGCAGGAGGATTACCTGTGAGTTCAAGGCCAGCCTAGGCTACATAATGAATTCAGAGCCAGCCCAAACTACATAGCAAGACCCTGTCTCAAAAAACAAAACAAAAAAAGACAATCTTTAAAAATGCTGGGCTGGGCATGGTGGCACATGCCTATAATTGCAGCACTTGGGAGGCTGAAGCAAGAGAATTGTTTTGAGTTTGAGACCAGCCTGGGCTACAAAGTGAGCTCAAGGCCAGCCTGAACTGCATAGCGAAATCCTGTCTCAAAAAGACAAAAAAAGAAAAGAAAAGGCTGGGGATATAGCTGAGTATGAAGGCCCTGGGTTCAATCCCCAGGATCCAAAACAAACAAAAAAGGAGTTGGGGATATAGCTCAGTGGCACAGTACCTGCCTGGCAAGCACAAGGTTCTGAGTTCGATTTCCAGTACCAAAAATAACATATAATAATAAATTTTCTAAACACCCATGGCTTTTTTAAAAATGCCCACAGCAATCCTTCTGCCTCAGCCTCCTGAGTAGTGGGATCACAGGCATGTCCTGCCACACCAGGCCTGTTTTTTGGTGTTTTGAGACAGGGTCTCGCTGTGTAGTCCAGGGTGGCCTCAAACTTGTGTCAGTCCACCTTCCTGAGCCTCTTGAGTGCTGGGATTACAGGTGTGTGCCACCATGCCAGGCCTAGCAATAAAAAAAATTTGTGTGTTTTGAGACAGGGTGGCCTTGAGCTCGCTTATGTAGCCCAGGCTGGCTTTGAACTCATAGCAGTCCTCCTGCTTCTGCCTCCCAAGTGCTGGGATTACAGGCATGTTCCATCACACCAGGCCAGGCAGTAAAATATTTAAATGCCCATGGCTTTTAAAACATTGAACTTTTAGTTCCTGGAATGCACAAGGTTTTGTCCTCATCCCCTCCCTTTGTCATAATGCTTCCTCACCAGCTTTCCTATTGAGGTTGTGTTTGCATACCATACAGTGCACAAATCTTAAATATACAGCTCAGTGAATCTCTGCCTATGTCCACATCATGTAACCATCACACAGAACACCACAGTGCCTTTGTACCTCTTCCACCCAATTGTCCTGCAGGGATAACCCCTCTGCTAACCTACAGCCATAGGTAGGTTTTGCCTTCTCTTGAACTTGATATAAACAGAATTCTTTTTTATCTTCCTTCAGCATTAGGCTATGAGAGTCTGTTGTGTGTAGTAGTTTGTTCTGTTGTTCTTTTTTTGTGGGGGTATTGGAAACCGAACTCAGGACCTTGTGCTTGTCAGGCAGGCCTGTACCACTGAGCTATATCCCTGGCCCAATTCTATTCTTATTCTTGTTTTGATTTGTTGGGGTTTTTTGGGGGTTTTTTTGTTTTGTTTTTTTGGTTTTTTGGGGTTTTTTTTTCTGGCACCAGGAATTGAACTCACAACCTTGCACTTGCCAGGCAGGCGCTGTGCCACTGAGCTAAATCCTCAGCCCCCTTATTCTTGTTTTGAGACAGAGCCTTGAATTTACTGTGTAGCCCAGGTTGGCCTCAAACTCACAGCAATCCTCATTTAATGCTCTACCTGTTTAATAACTGTTCAGACTTATGACCCTCTGCTCAGACGTATGAACCATCTTTTTTTTTTTGTACAGGTCTGTACATCTTATTATTTTTTGTTTTGTTTTTTAGAGACAGGATCTCCCTATGTAGGCCAGGCTGGCCTTGAACTCACTTTGTAGCCCAGGCTGGCCTCAAACTCACAGCAGTCTTCCTGCCTCAGCCTCCCAAGTGCTGGGATTATAGGTGTGCACCACCTTACCCAGATAGGGTAGTCACATTTGCCACAGGTCGACTTCTGAAGGTGGAGGCCTTAGAGCCACAGCAGCAGCACATGTGCTTCTTACTACAACACTTTCGAAACGGTGACATTCCCTTCGTCATCTCACTTGTGCTGCTGAGACCAAAGCTTTTTTGTTTTTGAGGGGTTTTTTGTGTGTTTTTTAGGTACCTGGAATCCAACTCACGACCTTGTGCTTGCCAGACAGGTGATGCGCCGCTGAGCTATATCCCTGGCCTTTTTTGTTTTGTTTTTTGAGACAGGGTCTTACTGTATAGTCCAGGCTGGCCTTGAACTCACTGTGTAGCAGAGGCTAGCCTCAAACTCAATGGCGATCCTCCTGCCTCAGTCTCCTGAGTGATAGGATTACAGCTATGCACCACACCTGGCTAAAAAGGCATATACTTTTAAGAGTTCAGTTCAAGAAAAGTGGGGATTTATTTTTATTTTTGTCTTCTGTGACTCTTGGGGTGGAACACTGGGCCTTGCCAGCGCTACGCAAGTACCCTACCACTGAGCTGTTCCTACATCCTGACTTCAATTAGTTTTGGCAGATGCCTCTGGCTATTTTACTTAAAGGTGTTATCGGCGTTTTTGTACAGGACTGCGTGGGCACAAGCATTTGTTTCCGTTGGGGGTGTACTTGGGAGAACTGCTGAGGGCCAGGGCCCGTGCCAAACTCCCAAAGCCGTAGGAACTCTTCATACTCCCCCAGCAATGGATGAGAGCTGCAGGTGCTCCTCACCCTCCCCTGCGTTCCACGCTGTGCCCTTCTCCTTGTGCCCTTCCTGCTGGGCACAGGGCTCTTCCGCTGCACTGCCAGTGCTAGGCAGCTCTCCTTGTGTGTCCCCACCCCTGCGGAGCACCCTAATGAGCGCGCATTTCACAGCTTTACACCCAGCGCTCCACACTGGGGGCGACATGCCCCGCGTCTGTCTCACTGACGGCAGACCCCAGCTCTGGCCCTTAGCTGCCCTTTCTCCTCACAGGTGGTTTTTCCCCATCATCGGCCACATGGGCATCTGCACATCCACAGGAGTCATTCGGGACTTCGCTGGCCCCTATTTTGTCTCGGTGAGTCCTCATTCTGCTGGCCTTGGGGTTCGGGGCTACTTCGAGGCCAGCCTGTCTTGCCTGCAGGAGGCTTCCCATCTCCCTGAGCGCAGGAAGGTGCAGGTAGCACGCAGCCTAGCCCTAACCCCGTACCCTCGCCGTTGTTTGACCCCTTTCCCCCTTCCCTTGGCTGCAGGACAGGCCGGAAGGGCAGTATGGTCAGAGGATTCTTAAGTAACTGGCCCAGCCCTTTGCCCTGCCCCAGGGGTCCCGAGACATGGGTGGGGTTAGAGGCCCTAGGAGTCAGGCGTCCGAGAAGCATGTCCCTGGGCCTTCAGAAGGCGGGAGCCAGGGGAGGTTGATGGTGGGTCCGGGCGGGCTCCTAGAGTGAGCCAGCTGCGTTCCCAGGTCTGTTCCCTGGGGGTGGAGCAAGCCTGGTCCAGCGGCAGCTCTGACGAGCGCACACCTCTGCCCGTTTGCGGAGCTAGAAGGGGTGTGGTGGCACCAGCCTCTTTATATAAACACTTGTCATAACTGACTTAACACAAGGCCTATCACTTTAAAAATTATTTCACTAGCAGGGTGTGGTGGCACATGCCTATAATCCCAGCACTCGGAGGCTGAAGCAGGAAGATCGAAAGTCTGAGCCCAGCTTGTGCAATTTAATGACTTAATAAGACCTGTCTCAAAATAAAAAATAAAAAAAGGCTATAGGTGAGGCTGAGCAAAAAGGCCCACGGTTTAATCCCTAGTACCCATCCTGGTGTGAATGGGGTCGGGCTGCAGGTGGAGCGGTGACTCTGTGTGGGCCGTCGCTGTCAGGTTAGCAGGCCAGAGTGCTGGCTTTACCCGCAGAGGGAGCCCCTGCCTGTGGTCAGCGCCCAGAGAAGACAGCAGGAACTTGGGCCGGGAGAGTTCCAGGGTGACGCGCTGCCTCCTTCCCACAGAAGGGCTGCTGTTGGCACTTCAGTTAGCATGCCAGCCCCCAGCAGGCCTGCACCACTGCTGCCCCCATGACATACCCGCTCCTGCGTCACCGTCGCTGCACTTGAGCCACTGAGCCAGCCTTGTCACCCAGCCCGGATGCCGGCCCCCCACTAACCTTGCTCTTGTCCCTCGACAGGAAGACAACATGGCCTTTGGAAAACCTGCCAAGTAAGTGATGGGCCCTGCGTGAGGGCCCCACGGCCAGGTTCCTCTCGCCCAGAGCAGCAGGCCAGGCCCTCGTGGACACAGTGTGAGGGGAGCAGCCAGCGCCCACCGGGGCATAGCAGTCCTCTCCAAAGCACCTGCTGCGCCAGCCCCGGGCTGACCTTCACCTGCAGACGTGCAGGCCGTGCTTCAGCTTGGCGAGGTCATTCTCTGCCTGTAGGGCAGAGGTGAGGGAAGAGAAGGGACTGGTCAAGGTGACACAGGTAGGAAGTGCAGTAGCAGGGCTCACAGCCGGGTCTGTCTCCCTCTACAGCCTGCACCCCTCCCCTCGGGAGCAAACAGGCCATGTACGGGATAAAGGAGCTGTGGGGGCGTGCTGCACCTGTAATCGCAGAACTCTGGGAGGCCGAGGCAGGAGGAACACAAGTGTGACCCCAGCCTTGACAACTTAGGAAGACTGTGTTCCAAAATAAAAAAGGACTGGAGGGGGTGGGGGAGGACTGGGGGTGTAGCTCAGTGCAGAGGCACTGAGTTCAAGCCCCAAGACTGGAGAAAGAAGGCATAAGAGGGGTACTATTTAGAACTTTGCTAGTAAGTTCTGCTTGGAGAGCATAAAAGCAGTTCAGGCCCTGAGGGAGAGGAGCTGATTTAGTCGGGCACTTTGGTCCTCATTTCCTTTGTCTCAGGTGCTCACCTAGTGCCAGTGCCTCAGTCATCCTCTTCTCAGAGCAGCGGTGGTGCCCCGTGGCCCAAGGCTGCCAGGAGAGGGGGGGCTAAGGAGGAGTGGGTGACCCCTCTCTGGCTTTCTCCTGCAGGTAGAAATGTAGTCCAGAGGCCTGTGAGCTGGGCATTTGCTACTAGGCTGCTTTTCAAAGACAGTTTTGGGTTTTTTGTTGTTTTAGCCAGGGGGTGGGGGGGGGCTTGAGTTAGGAGCTCATTATGTAGTGCAGGCTGGCCTTGAACTCACTATGTAGCCAAGGCTGGTCTTAGACCTCACAGCAGTCCTCCTGCCTCAGCCTCCTGAGTGACAGGATTACAGGCACATGCCACTATGCTCGGCTTTTTTCTTTTTTTTTTTAATTTATTTTTTTGGTCTTTTTGAGACAGGGTCTCACTATGCAGTTCAGGCTGGCCTTGAACTCACTTTGTAGCCCAGGCTGGTCTCAAACTCGCAACAGTCTGCCTGCCTCAGCCTCCCGAGTGCTGGGATTACAGGCATGCGCCACCATGCCCAGCTATGCCGCATTTTTTAAAAGGAGTGTTGGGGCTGGGGATTTAGCTCAGCGGCAAAAGCGCCTGCCTGGCAAGCGCAAGCTCGTGAGTTCGGTTCCCGGTACCAGAGAAAAAAAAAAACAAAAAACAAAAAAAATAAAAGGAGTGTTAAGGATATTCTTTTCCAGGCAAGAGCCCCTGAGGGCCCCTAGTTCAGGCCGCCATGGTTTCTGGCTGTCTCTAGGCTGCTCCGCCAAGCCTTTTCCCCACACCAGAGCCAGAGGGCGCTGTGTCTGCCAGGGCTCCAGCCCTGGACTCCTGGGATGCGGCATTGCTTAGAACAGCTGTGCTCACCCAGCTTGACGCTCTAGGGCTTCATCTCCACCAGCGTCTGTCACCCTCACCCGAGCAGAACGGTGGAGAGGCCGGGGAGAGCCCTTGCTGCTGAGTGGGCCGCACAGTGTGACACTGAAGTCCTGCATGGTGTGGCCCCTGCTTTATCTCCTGCGTCCAGCATCTGTCACCCTGTTCCTCCTGCTCAGTCCTCCAAGAGTCCCCAGCCACTTGTGTCTGGGACACACTGCCCAGTGTTGGGCCTTTCACTTTGTTCAAGCTGTTCCTCGGCCTGCAGCGGACTCCTGCCTTCCCGGGGGCTTCCCTCTTCCTTCAGAGTAGACTCAGGTGTCACCTCCAGAAAGCCTTCTCATACACTCTGTCTTCTTCCACGCAGGTTACCATGACAAAATGCCATCGAGTGGGTGGTTCATAAGCAACAGAAATTGCTTTCTCATGCTCTGGAGGCTAGGAAGGCCAAGCACAAGGTGCGGGTAGATTCCCGGCCTGGCGAAGGCCTGCAGCACCTGCTGTGCCCTCACATGGGTGGTGGGGAGCAGTCTCTCCCATCTCTTGTGTAGGCACGGACCCCTTTTGTGAGCCCCCACCTCCGCTCTGTTGCCCAGTGACTTCCCCAAACCTCACCTCCTAATACGTCCACATTGGGAGTTAGGATTCAGCACCCCTGCAACACCCGCCGCTGAGTTAGTTCCACCGCCTCCCAGATCCACTGCGGCACTGGGTCACAGCTGTCTGCTATGTGACTTTGTTCTGGAATTGGCTTACTCAACAGCCCCAGCATCCAGCTGTGGGCTCTCACGGAGGCCACAGGGAGCGGTCACAGAGCTGAGAGGCCACAAGGGAGGTGAGCCAGTGCCCAGACCCCCTGTCCTCCTCAGGTACTGGAAGCTGGACCCTGCACAGGTCTACGCCAGTGGGCCCAACGCATGGGACACAGCCGTGCACGATGCCTCTGAGGAGTACAAGCACCGCATGGTAGGCAGCCTGAGCGCGCAGGGACCAGCGTGGGAGATTTCCCCGGCCTGCCCTAACTCACCCCGTTCTGTGCCTCCAGCACAACCTCTGCTGTGACAACTGCCACTCGCATGTGGCACTGGCCCTGAACCTGATGCGCTACAACAACAGCACCAACTGGAATATGGTGACCCTCTGCTTCTTCTGCCTGCTCTATGGGAAGTACGTCAGGTGAGCTGGGCCCTCCTGCACCTTCCCTGGGCTGTCTTCCAGGGATCCCGGCCATTTCCGGAGTCCTTCAGTCAGGAGGGACAGCTGGACAGATGCCAGCTGGAGCTGCGATGGCTCTAGAATGATGAGCTGACTTCCTGGGGAGAGGGTGGTGTCTGCTGAAGTCCCGCTGGTCTCCGGCTCACTGTGACGGCCTTGGGTAACTGCCATGGCCTCTGTGCTGCCACGGCGCTTGGTAAGCTCGGGGAGGGTTCTGGCTCCTTGGGGAGGGTTCTGGCTCCTTGGGGAGGCCACGAGTCCACAGAGCGCCCCGCTCAGGCAGTGTGAGCAGACAGGTCCGCAAGGCCAGAGTCCCTTCCGGGGCCTCCTGTCAGAGGCAGGGTTCTGGGCAGATGGGCCCAGTGGTGGCCCAGGTAGACCTTTGAAGTCACAGCTCATGATCTGTGAGGTCCAAACCTCACCCAGCTCCCAGCAAAGAGAACTCAGGTCGGGTGAGCTGCCCACGGTCCTACAGCGCGGCCACAGACTTAGGAGCCCAGCACAGACCTGGGCCGGTCCGCCAGCCTGCCAAGCTTCCCTCTTAGCTGTGCTCGTCCTTAAAAGCTGCTGAAAAGGAGACTCTTGGAGGTTTTTTCTTTCATCCTGAGGGGCTTTTAGAGGTCCCCTGAGAAGAACATAGCTGTGGTCACAGAGAGACTGAGGCAGAGCCAGCGCTGAACTAAGGCCCTTGGCTCCAGCCACAGCACGGCCGACCCTCACCAGCTCCTCCCAGTGAGACTCATCGCCGGGGCCGGGGCCGGGGCACACAGGCTTCCATCCCCGAGCCGAAGTTCCTGGTCCTCTCCTAGTGGCTGTGCGTGAGCCAGTAGGACCCGGGGAGACCGAGTACACATACACCTCCTGCTCTGGCCGGGGATCTAGACCGCACCAGGAGCTGGGGGTCTTCCACAGTGGGCCCCAGGCCGGGCCCCATCCGTGTTGCCCAAGTTTGGGGCCGAGGGAGCAATTCTAAGAGCTTCTCTGGGGTGGCAGCCCTGTCGGGGTTGTGGGTGGTGGGGCTCAGCCCTAAGCCTGCTCACCCTGCTGTTCTTCCTCCATCAGCGTCGGGGCCTTTGTGAAGACCTGGCTGCCCTTCGTCCTCCTCCTGGGCATCATCCTGACCGTCAGCCTGGTCTTCAACCTGCGGTGATGGCTGCCAGGCGGCCCCAAGCCCACCAGGCTCCTGAGGAGGCAGCCGCCACCCTTTTGGCCCCAGATTCTTCCTCTTCACCCCTAAGGCAGGCTGGGCCTGCGGCGGAGGACCTGCGTTCTGGGCTGGGGACAAAGTGCGGAGGACGAGCATGGAGAGGGTTGTCTGCTTGTTGTGTCTCGCTGGCTTTTCAGGAGCTCCCTGTGCCCTCCCCCTGGGCCTGTGACCCCACCTTTGAGGCACGCTCCTTGTCCGCTGTTAGGACGGACTCACCTCCCGCTGTAGAGCTCTTCCTGCCACTGCCAGTGCCCAGTGCACACAAGGACCCGCCGGCGAGGCCGCAGCGGACGAGACGGGAGCGGGAGCCTGCCCTCCAGCTGCCGCCGGTCTCCGGGCGGGTGGGGCACTGAGGCGTCTCCGTGGCCAGAGCGGCCTGGCGCCTGCCCGACGCACTCCCGAGTGATCGGAGGGGCTGAGGGCCCCGCCGCACCCGCTTCCCTCCGGGGCTGCCAGTGCCTGGCTGCTCTCCCTCTGCAGTTTGGGGAGCTGATGTGCAGAGCAGGCGGTACAGATCCCACCTGGCCCCAGCTGGGCTGCGGGCTGCATGCTGGATGGCACCTTGAGTCCCAAGCGCGGGTGGCCGCTCAGAGCAGCCAGTGCCAGCAGGGAGCTGTGGAGAGGCCATTCCTCTCCCCCGACTACCACTCCCCATAAGTCTCAGAAGGGCCCTGTGCGGCCGCCTCACCCCTACCCCGTGGGCTCCTTTGTGAGGGGCTCCCTGGCGGGACAATAAAGAGTTCTGAGTTCAGAGGCTGTTCCTGCTTCCCCCTCTCTGCGGGTCGCTCACACCTCAGCTGCTTCCGTCTTCGTTCGTGTCCTTGGGCACCTCCAGCCCTGGCCTGAGGTCAGGTTGCCAGTGCCTTGGCCGAGTCTGTGTCCAGTGCCAGGAGCTTATGGCATATCAGCTTCTCGGTGTCCTGCCCAGTGCGCTGTGGGAATTGTCGCCCCTCCACTGCTGCCCCCCAAGCTCACTGCCAGAGGCAGCTGGGCAGTAATGGGCTGGTGGGGCGGGGGAGGAAGAGACCCAGGAGAGGCTGAGCCGGGCCTGAGCCCTGGTCATTAGGAGGACGGATGGAGGTGGGGCAGGGAGGGGACAGGGCCTGAAGTGGGGGTTGGGGGTGACCACCTCTGTGACCCAGGAAGCTGGTAGGCCATGATGGTGGAGACCGGGGGTCTAAGCCCGGCGGGTTTAGGGTGAGACGACAGGAAAGACTTGGCTGGGAGGTGTCCAGGAGCTACAAGAAGGCCGTGAAGGCAGAGAGGAGGGGAAATGGAGAGGCCTATGACTACACAAGCTTAACACCCTCGGGGCCGCCGAGGAGAGAGCTCAAGAAACATCCCGAGGTAAGGGATGAGGATGCTGTTGGCCACTCTCCTCTCACCTGAGAGCCCTGATAGGGAAAGTAGGCGTCACCTCTCCATCATGGACACTCTCTGGGTATTGCATATGGAAACACACATACGTGTATTTATTGAGTCTGCAGGGAGCTGGCCATTTGATCCCAGCTACTCGGGAGGCTGAGGCAGGAGGATGGAAAGTTCAAGGTCAGCCTGGGGAAGACTCTGACTATGAATGGATGAATGAATGGGCCCAGGGATATAACCCAGTGATGCAGCCCTTGCCTAGCATGCCTAAGCCTTGAGGTCAATCCCCAGTACTGTAAAATAAGGTGGGGGGGGGGGACTTTCCAGGGTTGAATTGTAGTGAAAGTCCTCTGAGTAGGGATTATTACCCCAATTTAGCAGATTGACTTTCAAAACAAATTGGGGAGGCTGGACCTGGGGTGGGGGGAGGTCACCTTCAGTTTTTTAGAGTGCTGGGGATGTTCAAAGGGGAGCTGGTTCTGATGAGCGGAGGAGCGAGGCTTCCTCTAGAACCTAGCCCTTGTCTACCTCCTCCCAGGTCTGTGACATGTGTTCTGTCATCCACAGCTACAGGTGCAGGAGAATAGGGGCGGACAGGCAGCCTGGAATGGAGTGGATTTGGGGCAGTCAGAAAGCTTTCAGGTGACCTTTTGTGCCCAATCAGAATGAAGACAGCTCCAGAGGATCATGGTCCCAAAGCTGATGTCCTCTAAAGCCCAAAGCTCTGCTCTCAGTGAGCAGAGCTGGGTGCTGAGTGAGGTGTTCAGAGGTTCCCCGTAGACAGAGGGTGTAGGACTCTCACCCTGGCACTGGTGGGACCCAGAGTGGCAGAAAGGACAGAGAGAGCGGTGGCCAGCACTTCCTTAGAGGTGGACAGAGAGTGGCATTAGGTGCTGAAATACACCTGAGTGCCAGACTACTGGAAAAGAGACACCTGACACCTCCTTCATGCCATCTTGTACCAGTACTTAAATCCCTTGAGAATAGGCTCCTGGTACTCTGCTATCTACAGTCTGCATAGGAGGAAACTGCAGCTCAGACAGGTTAAAGACTACTCAAGGTCGCACAGAGGCAGAGCAGGGACTCCGCTGAGGTTGCCTAACTGCAAAGTCTGCAATCTTTCCATTACTCTGATTCTTAGAAAGAAAAGTGTCTCAACTTTGCTTTCAAAGCAGCTTCCTATCAACCCGTCGGTGAGAAGGCAGGGGCTGCTACAAGGTAACTACCCATTTTATGGGCAAGCCAGCCAAGACTCTGCCAGACCTGCCGGAACTACGAGATGCTGAGCTGGAGCTGGGGCCACGCCCCAGGCCCAAGCCAGCCCTGGCTTCTCTGAGAGCAGCTGCGGGTCGCACCCTGGGGAGTCCAGGCCCGGTTTTGCACCAGGCCCTGCTGAGGTGTTTCCTCCTCCCCCTCCCCCTGGCCCGGGCAGCTGCTCCACTGGGCCAGTCAGCCTTAGGCCTTCACAGCTCTTCCCCGGGTCCCAGAAACTCACCTGCCCTACTGGGGAGCCAGAGCCACCTAAGAAGACATCCTCCTATACTGGACCCCTACAGGTAACACACTTTGGTGCCAGGTCCCCTGCCAGTATCCCCAGGAGCAGCCACTGCCACCTGCTGTCCTGGGCACTCTCTGGCATCTTGGGGTGGGGGAGGTGGGAGCATGTCTGGGACTGGACCCTTCTGGGACCAATGGGTCTGTCCATATGTTGAAACAGTCGGGAGGACAGGTGCTTGATCAGCCTCTGGGAGGACTGGGGATTCAGGAAGGGGGACACTGGGCTTGGATGCCAGTGACTCAGCCCAGGCAGACCTCAGGACCAGGACCTCTGCCAAGCTCCCCCCACCTTAGCACACGCACACACATAGTGGCCCCAGGAACCTTATCACACATCAGAACACATAGCTTAGTCTTGCAGACAGCAAAGAAGGAAATGCACACCATGCACACACCCACATGGCACTGTCACCCAGAAAGTCCCTGGACACCCCACATAGCCAGTCTAGGCAGCCAGGGGACATCACACAGCAACATGACACAGACACACAGAAACTGCATGGGCTCCTACAATGCTCAGCTTACAGACACCCCGACCACACCAGACGACGCACACGGAACGCAGGGTGTGGGACAGAAACGTCCCAGAAGAGTCCAGAGCTGTTTGTGTGACAGCCCGCGTCTTGGACACAGCAGTTTAGAAAGCTGTCACCTAGGAGCACACAGGGTTCCATTAACACAGATGTGCAGAAAGCCCAGGCTCCTCAGAGCAGGTATCAGGGAACAGGCTTGCTCAGCCTGACTCACCTGGGAGGGGACAGGGCACTGGAAGCAGCAGGCACAAGCCAGGACCTGCCCCTGAGCCACCCTCTTCCATCTCCTACCTGGAGCCCTGGCATGGAAGGGGTGGGAGAGAGGATGGACTGCTCAGTGGGCTCAGGCTGAAGCCACGGCCCAGTGCTTTGCCCCCTGCCATGTTCACACGCCCCTCTGGGCTGGCAAATGTTTTCCTCTGAGTCATGGTGGTGCCTGGGCATGAGCTGCTTCGCTGTCCTTGGCTGCTGGGGTGGAGGAAGCCATGCAGCCCAGCTGAGGTGCCCAGGGGCCCAGGGCAAGAGTGCAGGGCTTGCGTGCGGGAATCCCGGGGCTGGCGGGCCCAGGGGGAGTCGGGGCTGCGGTTACTTGAGGGGAGGAAGTTGGTGTATGGGCTGGGGAGGAGGTTGCTTCACACAGGAAGGCCAAATGAGCCGGGCGGGGTGGAGGGGAGGAGCAGGGGAGCAGCCCCAGTTGGGGAGGCTGCCTGGGTCAGGAATGAGCAAATGCAGGCGTGCGTGCGTGTATGCGTGTGTGTGTGTGTGTGTGTGTGCGCGTGCGCGCACAGGTATATTTTTACATTTCATCAGTCAAATACCAGCTGTCTGCCATGTGCAAAGCCCTGCTTTGAGGGGAATGATCTGTCCCCAGCTTCAAGGAGCTCGCAACCAGTTAGACCGGCAATGTGCACAGGCAAAAGTCGGATTTGGGTTTAGCCAGAGACATGTACTTGCCTGCAGACTTTTCTGCAGATGAACATGTCAGGGCGGGTCCCTGTCTCCCTTTGTGTGCACAAGCTCTGTGCAGGTTTAAGAACCCGCGTGTACACAGCTCCGGGGCATGGGCTGTGCCTGGGTCCCCACAGGTCCCTTTGTGGGGGGTGTGCTTGTGCCTGTCTTCACAAAGTGTCAGTGTGCACATGTGACCACAGGTATTCATGCTTGCCTACCCAGGTTAGTGTGTGCATGTGTGTGTGTGCCATCTCTGGTTCTTCGTGTGTCCCTTCTGTAGGGTGTGTGCACCAGTGTCTCCATACACTTTGAATATTTCCCTGAGTGTGTTCAGGGGCTATGACCTTGGCCTCACCCTTCCAGGGATTGTACTTACCTCCCACCAGCCACACATTTGGGGAGAGAAGGGCAGACATGCTGTTTGAGGGAAAAGACTGATGTGACCCTTGGTCTGCCCGCAGGAAGCCACGTGTGCCCGGCTGGGGCCTGGCCCCAGCTGATGCCCCCGAGGGGCCACCCATCTCAGGAGAGGCTTTGGGCCCTTGTCCTCCCTCCCCATGGCACATGGCCCAGAGCCTGAGGTCGAGGGATTGTTGGACCTCAGCTTCCTGACGCAGGAGGAGCAGGAGGCCATTGCTGATGTCCTCAGACGAGATGCCCGCCTGCGCCAGCTGGATGAGGGGCGGGTCAGGTGAGGCAGGGTGGCTGCTGGCCAGGAGGGAGGGGGCTCAGGCCCTCGAGGGTTTGTGCAGGCCCCTGCTCTACTTCATACCGACACCTGTCAGAGTGCTGTCCCCTCCGCCCTTGGTCTGCTCAGCGCTCCTCTCCTCCCTCCTGGGGTGGCTGTCCCAGGTCCCTTCCCAGCCTCCCTGGTGGCCTGCCCCTTCCAGCCACCACCACCACAAGGCGGCAACTATGGCAAGGGCAGGCTTTTGAGCACGGCCCTGCCACCTCCCCATTTTATCTTTCCCCTCAGCCCCTATCTGACAACAAACATAATACTCACTACAGCCTCAGGGTGCCCTGCACCCCTGAACACACCCTCACTTCCAAGCTGAGGCTGTTTGTGCCTTCTTCCTGGAGGAGCACAGCAGCACAGGGGCATGACAGACAGCTGGAGGACAGACAGACACTTCTAGCTATGTACCATTGCGCAACTTACATGACCCTATTCTCCTCATCTGTAAAATGGGGCTGCGGAGCCCTATCTCAGAATTAAGAGAAATTATGCAAGTATGGCCCACAGTAATCATTTAATGAATATTATCCTTTTCTATCTGGAGAATTCCAACTTGTCCTTAAAGAAGCAATTTCTGCTGAGGGGGGTGGTACACACATATAATCCCAGCACTTGGGAGGCTGAGGCAGGAGGATCGTTGCAAGTTCGAGACCAGCCTGGGCTACAAAGTGAGCTCAAGGCCAGCCTGAACTGCATCGCGAGACCCTGTCTCAAAAAAAAAAAAAAAAAAAGAGGTAAAAAGAAGTAAATTCAGGGATATAGTTTAATGGTACAGCACCTGCTTAGCATGTGCAAGGGCCTGGGTTAAATCTCCAGCATGGGAAAAGGAAAAGAGAATGTGAGTGTCACCTCCTTTGGGAAGACTTCCTGGATTCCCACGGAGCTGGCCCTTCTTACACTCGTCACAGCACCTACCTCCCCATAGCATGCTTGACTGTTCTAGATTCAGTCTCCCCACAGGCCCGGGAGCTGCGCGTGCTGTTGAAAGCTGGGACCAATTGGGTGGCAGGAATCTTGCTTGGGTAAGTAGAGACAGCCGTGCCCTCTCCTATCCTCCAGCAAGCTCCGGGCCTCGCTGGAAGACCCCAGGCAGCTGAAGACCCTAACAGGAGACTGGTTCCAGGAGGCACGTTCCCAACGGCACCAGCATAGCCACTGGGGCTCTGACCTTGTCCGAGCCTCTATCCGCAGGAAGAAGAGCTCTAGGGGTGAGAGGAGGCCCGGGTAGGGTGCTGGCTGTCCCCATACTGTGTCTTGGGTGGGGTTAGCGTCGCCAGGGGCCTCTCCTGTGGGTCACAGTTAGACTTCCTGAGAATGGGCAGTCACAGAACTTACCTGGGCCCAGGAGACCAAGCTCTGGGCAGTGACGGAGAGGCTGAGGCTTCTGGGAAAGAGACTGAAGAGGAGGCCAGGCCCAGGTGAGGAGGCCTCAGGGGGAGAGGGGCGTGACTCCCCTTACCCAAGCCCTCGCCCTCAACACCAGCCCTGCCACCTCGTCCTAGGTGGCTCCCCACAGATGAGGAGGCCCCTCAAGAGAGGCGTGGTGAGACTCAAGTGAGTATGGAGGGACTGAGTGAGCTAACAGTGCACAGCGCCGGAGTCGGGTGAACGCGCTGGGGCTGCGCTGGGAGGCAGCCCCCTCTGCGCCAGTCTGGAGCCCTGGGACGCAGCCCTCCCCTCCGCCCAGAGGGCGGCGTGGACTGGCCTCTGGAGGAAGCCGACCAGTGGGAACGCGCAGGACTGGCAGAAATGAAGCCAGGCCCATCCGGAGGGGCAGGTGGGGATGCGAGGGTGTGAAGTACAGGCCAGACTGGTCTGGCAGCAGCTGCCAAGCCTGCTCTGAGGGCTGCGCTAAATCTGAATCGGGTTGGCCCCGCTGGCGCCTCTGATCTGACCCCACCGTGACCTTTGGCCCCTTCTTCATTAGCCCCCACTGTGGCCTCTACCCCGTATTTCCTTAGGAGCCTGACTTCCCCTCACCACTAAAGGTCTCAGATCATGAGGAGGAGCCCCAGATGCAGGAAGGTGAGTGCGAGTTGTGTCGGGAGCCCAGAGAGGTTGCAGGGATCACAGGCGGCCCTTAGTGACCCCAGTCACCACGTCCACCTTCCTCCTTCCGGGTCGGCGGCTGTGCGTGGCCGCCACGGTGGCCCCAGGGCAGAGCTGGGGCCTCAGTCTGCAGGTCACCAGGGTTGTGGATCAGCCCCTCCAAACTGGCTCAAGGGCGGGCCGGAGAGGAGCCCGCTCAGCAGCTTGTGCCACGCCCCAGCCCCCGGCCCCGGGGACGCGCAGGTGGACGCGGAGCAGGCGGAGCCCCAGCCGGAGCCGGAGCCGGAGCCGGAGCCCGAGTTTAAACCGAAGCCGGAGCTGGAGCCCTCGCCCGGGGCGAGGAAGGCGGCGGAGGAGCCGCGGCCCGGGTCCGCCCAGGTAGGCGGGAGCGGCCCGCGGTTGCTTGAAAGACCCGGAGCGGATTCGGGGTGGGAGCGCCCCTGCCCCGGCTGCGCACCGGCCACGACGATGCAGGTGGAGGTGATCGGCGCCCAGTCACTTTCCCGTTCTTCAGATCGAGGTGGCATCTGAGATCCTGGAGAACGGGGAGGAGGCTCCGGGGCCCGGCCCCTCACTCGACCGCATGCTCAGCAGCAGCTCCTCCGTGTCCAGCCTCAACTCCTCCACGGTGAGGGGTCCGGGGAGACCTGGGGGTCGCCCCCGCATAGAAGTGCCTGCTACCTCTCCCTCCCTACCCCTCCGCGCTCCGGCTTGTAAGCCCCGGCGTTCCGTCCGCCCCGACGTGAGCCCGTCACCCGGGCCCTGACCGGCCCCACCCTCGCCTGCAGCTGAGCGGCAGCCTGATGAGCCTGTCGGGGGAGCTGGAGGCGGGCGCGGTGCAGGTGTGCGGCTCTCTGAACTTCGCGCTGCGCTACGATCCCGGGGCCCGGGAGCTGCGCGTGCACGTGATCCAGTGCCAGGGCCTGGCCGCAGCCCGGCGCCGCCGCTCTGACCCGTGAGTGCAGCGTGCGGGGCGGCAAGGGGGCCCTACGTGGGTAAAGCTGGAGGCATGGAGTCATTCTCACAGCCCAGCCCAACATCAACTTTCCTTGGCTTCAATTTCCTCATCTTCAAAATGAGAACTTCGCTGGGCGTGGTGGCGCACGCCTGTAATCCCAGCACTCGGGAGGCTGAGGCAGGAGGATCATTGCGAGTTCGAGACCAGCCTGGGCTACATAAAGAGTTCAAGGACAGCCTGAACTATTTAGCAAGGCCTTGTCTAAAAAAAGGGAGGGGGAAACAACATGGGGATTAAGGAGGTAATTCCTGTAAATTGGCACGAGGCTTTACACGTAGGACGCAGTGTTGTGGATGGTAGCTGGGGAGGTCTCCGAGGCAGGAGAGGTGGCTCTGCAACGGTGCCCTCCTTACCTGCGACCCTCCCCTTCCCTGCCCCAGCTACGTCAAAAGCTACCTCCTCCCAGATAAGCAGAGCAAGCGCAAGACAGCTGTGAAGAAACGAAATCTGAATCCGATCTTTAACGAGATTCTCCGGGTGAGGCTGCTCGACATTAATGAACAGGGCTCCTCTTCCGGAGGGATGAAATGGCAGGGGCTGCCAGTTTCCACCTGGGCGGCTGCTCCATCCTCCGTTCCGCAGGAGGCCCGGGTTGATCCACTCTGCAGCTGCCCCCGCTCCCATGGCATCCTGCATGGCGCGCGTTCGAACCACCAGGGGCGCTGCACTAAAGCCACCTCCTGTCCCCAGTACTCTGTCCCTCAGACTGAGCTCCCGGGTCGTGTGCTGAGCCTGTCCGTGTGGCACCGTGAAAGCCTGGGCCGCAACATCTTTCTGGGTGAGGTCGAAGTGCCTCTGGACACGTGGAACTGGGACTCCGAGCCCACCTGGCTCCCCCTGCAGCCCCGGGTAGGTAGGGCAGCAAGGCCTGCGTGGGGTTCCCCGCGGAGCGCCCTCTACACCTACCGGCTCTGCCCCAGAGGGACCTCGCCTTGAGTAGAGCCTCCCTTGCCTCGCACCCTTAGAGCGAGGCCCGGGGTGACCACACCCCATGTGTCTGGAGGCATTTCCCCTGTCTCTACACGCTGACCAGCCCACCCCTGCTGTGGCAGGTCCTACCCTCTCCCGATGAGCTGCCCAGCCGCGGTCTCCTCTCGCTGTCCCTCAAGTACGTCCCTGCCGGCTCCGAGGGTGAGTGACCCACCCTGAGAGCCAAGCTGGATGGGCCCTGGGTGGCAGCAGACCCCTGCTGAGCGAGGAGGTGGACTCGGCCCAGGGCGAACCTAAGCTGAGTCTCTGTAGGTGGGGGACAGCCTGTGAGCGGGGAGCTGCACTTCTGGGTCAAGGAAGCTCAGAACCTCCTGCCGCTGCGCTCCGGGTCCCTGGACTCCTTCGTGCAATGGTGAGAGCACTGCCGCCTGCTGCTCTGCCTGCTGTGGAGCTCAGACCTGGGAGCACCCTTTCCACTCGGACACTCCGCTCTGGTCACCAGGCCGGGTCTGGGGCTGAGACAGAGGTCTGGAGTAGGAAAAGCTGAGGACCCCTTTGAGGAGCTGCGTTTCAGGGAGACTGGTGGTGCCAGCAGGACTTACTGGAGAGCCACAGGGTCCGTCCTTGGAGAATCTGGAGGGCCGGGGATATAGCTCAGTGGCACAAGCACCCGCCTGGCAAGCGCAAGGTCCTGAATTTGATTCTTGGTACAGAAAAAAAAAAAGAGAGAGACAGAGAGAGAATCTGGAAGGCCAGGCTATGGGGGCTGGCCCTGAACTTGCAGTTCAGGAAGTTGTTTTTTCCCTCTCGTCCTGGGATCAAACCCAAGGCCTGATGTTTATCTAAACTAGGTTCTACCACTGAGCTACACCTCAGGCCCAGTGATTTTCAAAGTAAGCTTTGAGGGACCTTTAGGGGTGCCTCCAGAGCTGGGCGTGATGGCCACACCTGTAATCCCAGCACTTTGGCTGAGGCAGGAAGATCACAAGTTTGATTCCTGCCAGGGAAACTTATCAAGATGCTGTCTCAAAAATACACAAATGAATAAAGAGGGCTAGGGATGTATCTGTGCAAAGGCTCCAGGTTCAAATTCAGTACCACAGAAAGGCTTCCCAGCCAACATGGTGGTGCACGCCTGTAATCCCAACACTCTGGAGGCTGAGGCAGGAAGATTGCTGTGAGTTCCAGGCCAGCCTAGACCAAGTCATGAGAGCTTGTCTCAAAACAAAACAAAGCAAAACAAAACAAAAAGGCTTCCTCCAGGTGCTGCCCCTCTCTGAGAGTAAATGAAGGCAGGCCCATCAGATTCTGGGCTTCCAATGTTTTTCTTTCAGTTATTGTACTTTTTCATTTTGCAGGAAGAGTTGGGACATTAACTGGGGTGTGGAAGCAACAGGGATCAGTGAAGAAGACTGAACCAGGGAGTAGCAGAAAATTGCATTTCAGGCTGGGGATATAGCTCAGCGGCACAATGGCCTGCCTGGCAAGCACAAGGTCCTGAGTTTGATTCCCAGTACAAAAAAAAAAAAAATTGCATTTCAGAGACATCACTCTAGGGGCTGGGGATTTAGCTCAGCGGCAAAAGCGCCTGCCTGGCAAGCGCAAGGTCATGAGTTCGGTTCCCGGTACCGGAGAAAAACCAGAGACATCAGTCTATGCCCTGGCCTATGAATGGGAGTTGTAAATTTAAAGGCAGGAGACAGAGAGGAGACTGGTGCAAAGGTCCCAGGGCGCTGAGGCTAGGAGATAGGTCAGGCCCAAGCCAGGGGACATGGACATAAGTGAAGGAGAAAGGACAGGACTCGGTGACTGTTGGCTCTCACTGGTGGGGGAAGGGGTCACCTGATAGCCGCCCACCTTTCCCACAGCTCCGTGCTGCCTGACGATAGCCGAGCTGGCCGCCAGCGTACACGGGTAGTGCGACACAGCCTCAGCCCCAGGTTCAACCACACCATGGTGTATGATGGCTTTGGGCCTGCTGATCTGCGCCAGGCCTGTGCTGAGCTCTCCCTCTGGGATCACGGGACCCTGGCCAGCCGCCAGCTGGGGGGCGTCCGCCTCAGCCTGGGTACTGGTAAGCAGAGCAGGGCCCGGGAGGGAGTCGAGTTGGGAGGCAGGGGCTCAGCGCGTGGCCTTGGGCACCCACTCTGCCCTTTCCTGAGTTCTTTCTATCACGATCTGGGGGAAACTGGGCACAATGCTTAATGCGGGACCAGACAGGTATCTGCTGGGACCTGATGTGTCCAGGGCGACCGTGCCCGACACCTGTGCCCACCCACATCCAGGCAGCAGCTACGGGCTCCAGGTGCCCTGGATGGATTCCACACCCGAGGAGAAGCGCCTATGGCAGACACTCCTGGAGCGGCCGTGTGAGTGGGTGGACGGCCTTCTACCCCTCAGAACCAACCTAGTTCCCAGGACTTAGCCCTACCCAACCACTCTCTTAGGGGCGCCATCCCAGGGCCTGTCCTTAGCTAAAGTCAATAAAGTTTCTTCTGAGGTCACTAAGGGCTGGTGTCTGCTGGAGATGCAGCACAAGGCGGCAAAGTGCTAGGAGGAAAGAGGTGGGACAGGGACCAGATTAAGACACAAAGACCTCCTGGAACGCTCCCAGGATACCACACACACACCCCTCCAGAGGGGCCAAGACAGGCACTGTTTAATAGTCTTTGGTCCTGTTTACCAAACACTTGGGTGCTTCTGCAGCTGGTTCTCCACACTGGGGCTGGGCCTGGGCCTACTCCGGCCCCGCTTCCCAGCCTCCCACAGTTGTCCCTGGCTCCTGGGTTGGTGTTTCAGGAGCAGCTTCATGTCTTCTCCGTTTCTCCATCCGTCTGTGGGTCTGTCCTGCCTCTGCTGTCCTCATTCGGCCTCTCGGGGTCCCAGGGTTCCTGACATGGATCCTGCTCGCTGTGCCAAGATGGCTCTCCAGATGCGGCATACCATTCCTCCCCTGGGGGCAGTGGGCTCAATGTGGCTCAGCCAGAAGTGGGTCTTGGCTCTCTCTGGGACCTATGGCCTGCCCAATGCTACCTCTGTCCTCAGGGGACACTGGTGGCCCTATGGTTTCCAGGGAGCAACTGAGGCAGGCCTATAGCTGGGGGCAGGATCTGGCCCGATCAGGCCATGTGGGTGTCCAGAGGGGCCAGGGGTACCTGATTCGGGTGTAGAGGAGGTCATCTCGAGTGGCACAGGTGAGCAGAGCATGGAGGGTGAAGCTGTGGTTCAGCAGCTGGATGTGAACAAAGACCCGCAGAAATAGAAAATGACAGACAGATGTGTCCTGAGAACCAGGTACTAGGTGGGCGTGGTGGCGCACGCCTGTAATCCCAGCACTTGGGAGGCTGAGGCAGGAGAATCGTTGTGAGTTCGAGACCAGCCTGGGCTACAAAATGAGCTCAAGGCCAGCCTGAACTGCATAGGGAGACCTTGTCTCAAAAAGACAAAAAAAGAAAAAAAAAAAAAACAACCACCAGAACCAGGTATTAGTTCTGTTCTACTACCAAGATGCTGAGGCAGGGCACGTTGGTTTCTGGGCCTCAGTTTTCCCATCTGTACTGGGGTAGGGATACATTAAGGGCTTTCCAGTATCAAGAGTCTCTGCAAGCAGAGGGAAATGAGAAACACACTGAAAGACGGGCAGTCTTTGGTTGGTGTGGTCAGGGATAGCCAGCAGCTCCCCACTCACCGTTTGGATGGTCCCTGCATCCACACTTAGGTCCTGTAGCCACTGCACCAGGCTCTGGTCCTTTGTGAGAGACGCTGTCAAGAAGTCGGGGGGATGAGCCTGAGGGTGTCTCCTGCTGGAGGGAGCCTCACACCCACCACCAACCTCCTCCAGCCAGGTCGGCTCACCCGGAGGCTCTGAGGCCAGAGCGTAGGTTCCGGCCTCCCCATTCACCCGCTGTAGCGCCCGGTGCACCAAGGCCTGGCACTCCCGTTCCTTCTCCACCAGGACATTCCTAAGCCTGTTGGAGCACAGAAGAGTAGAATGAAGTGGGGAGTGGGCTGAGGGGCGCGAAGGTTCTGTAGGTGACTGCACCGTCCTCACCGGTCAGTCTCAGCTCGCAGGAGGCCCAGCTGCACTATCAGAGGCAGGGGGCTCTGCTCGGGTTCTGCCGGGAGCTGGGTCTCCTGCTGCTTCTGCTGGGACTCCCAGTCTCTGCTCAGCTCCTGTGACCTTGGTGAGACCGTCTTCTTCTCCACCTCTGCCAATCAGAGTGGGGTGAACTCAGGAAGGGTAAGGACATGGGTTTGGGACGCCCAGACACTGTCCCCGGGAGGGCGACACTCTGGGAGAGACCGGACGGCCAGTCTCGGAGAGGTCTAGTCACACAGCAGTTCCTTCCCGCCTCGCCCCACCGGCCCGGGCCGCGCTCGCCAAGCCCTCGGGGCCACACCCTGGCGCAGGCTGCTGGGCGCCGGCCCCTCCTACCTGGGTCGAGCACAGCCAGGGCTGCCCGGACCGCGCGGCTGAGCAGCGAGTCCAGCACGAACATCCAGTGTGGGCGGATCTGGCGCTGGCGGAGGATCTGCTTCACCTGGAGCGGGAGAGAACGCGGCTAAGACAGCTGACAGCCCGGGTGGGACTGGAGTTGGGAAGAGCCTTGAAAGTCTCTGCTGGAGGAAAGTGGGGTGGGTGGGCTTGGGTCCAGGGGAGAGCTGGGACGGGTCAGACACCCTCTCTTCACACGGAATTCCGGAGCATCAAGTCTCGGCCAATTAGCAGTCCCAGGAAGCTCACTACCTGTTACTGGGCAGCCCTAACTGCAAGGAAGCTTCCTCACCGCATCTGGGAAGGCGAAGAGCGGTCCACTCAGAAGGGTCGGCCCGAGGCCCTGGGCCTGCAGCTGTGCTTGCAGCGCCCGCAGCTCCTGGGCCAGCTGTCGGCGGTTGGGGGTGTGGATGTGCGCGCTGAGGCAGCGCAGCAGCTGTTCTACATGAGGCTTGCTTAGACGGGAACCCTGAGAAGGAGAGAGGAGCCATCAGTGAGTGTCTCCACCCGCGTAGGAGAGGTTTTGGCGGACTGCTAAAGGCCACCAGCCATCCTGTCCGGGCTCGACCACCAGGGGGCGCTCGGACTGGCCGCCCACCTGCTCCCGCTCCAGGCGCAGATTGTCCGCCAGCGTGGGCAGCTCCTGCTGCAGCACCTCTGCGAGCATGGCCCTGCGCTTGCTTTCCTGGTGCAGCAGGCTGAGCCCCGAACTCTCCTCCGGGGACGCTGGCTCCTCGACTCCGGGCTCCTCGGGCACCCTAGGCGCAATGGGGAGCGGCTGGTGGAAGGCAGGCAAGAGCATCCAGCCACCTCTGCCGCGAGGTTTAAATCCTGGCTGTTACTTTAATTCCACCTCACAGGGCTAAGGAGATTAAACCCAGCACTGCGGAAGGGAGCACAGTAAATACACGTTAAAGCATCTGAGAGTGGGCAGTAGGTATCAGATACATTCTTGCAAGCGGCCAAGGTGCCCAAGTCCCCAAGAGGAGTTTTTTGGGGGGAGGGGTAGGTTACAAAGGGAAAACCAGGTGAAGGGGGCCCCCTCTAGAACCCCAGGCTCTCACCGGAGCAGGCAGGTGTCCCCATAACTGAGGCAGCGCTTGGGAGGGCTGGGTGGGTGCTGAGAGGGTGCCTGAGGCCGAGGGAATGTGTGGGACTGGGTGGTCATGTCCGCCGAGTGAGTGGGGCCAGCTGAAGGGGCATCTGATGAGGAACAAGCTGTCAGCCCTCTCACCTCCCCAGCGCCTCGCCTCTCCAGCCGGCTCTCTCTCCACCCCCACAGCACCTGAGGGCCGAGGAGCTTGCCGAGGGGAGCTGGGGCTGCGGCTTCTCTTCCCAGGCTGCAGGAAGGGGTCTCCCAGCAAAGTTTGGGCATTGGCTCGGAGGCGGGGGTCCGGCTCGAAAGTTCGGAGGAGGAAGGCTTGGGCCTCAGCTGACAGAGAGTCGGGCATCGGTGGATGCACCTTATACATGCCCACCTGGGGAGGGGCAAACAAGAGACAAGACCAGAGGTGTTCACGGCCCAGTTGAGCCCCACCCAACCTCCATGGGCCAGGCCCCAAGGGGGTCTCACCTGAAACATGGCAGCCTGTGGGCTCCCTAGCTCATGGAAGGGTGGCCGACCCGTGGCCATCTCAATTACAGTGCAGCCCAGTGACCAGATGTCAGCTGCCTTCCCATATCCCCGCGGGCCCTGGTCAATGATTTCTGGGGCCATATACTGCAGGGTCCCTAGAACGGGAGCAAGAGCAATAATGTCCATGTCAGCTTTATCATAGAGGGGGAGGGCTCCATCATCCGCTGGCTGCCTACAACTACGCTGAACCTGTTATCCCAAATAGCTCGCATCGTCTGCCTTGGCCATCAAACACCTATCCTGAGCTGTATCACCAACGACAGGCTCCATTGCCTGCCAAGGGTTCCATCATTCCTCCCAGGCTTCGTCACATTCACGGACGCCGCTGCCCTCAGGAGCGCTCTGCTCCACCGTGTATCCCGGACTGCAGCTCCCCGTGAATCTTTTTATTTTTATTTTTTTATTTTTTGGGTTTTCTCCAGTACTGAGAATCATATTCACGACCTTGTGCTTGTCAGGCAGGGGCTGTGCCGCTGAGCTAAATCCCCAGCCCCTCTTTTTATTTTTTTAAGATGAGGTCTCACTCTATGTTCAGGCTGAGCTTGAACTCACTGTGTAGCTCAGGCTGGCCTCAAACTTCTCGAAATCCTCTTACCTCAGCCCCCTGAGTCCTGGGATTATAGGCATTCGCCACCACAGCCTGCTACCTCCCCTGAATTCTACCATCCATCTTGGCCTCCAACACTCACCTAGACCTGCATCCACATGTGCGTGCTCCACTTTATATGCTAAACTTGACTTCATCACTGATCTGCGCTCCAATTCTGGATTCTGTCACCTCCCTCCCCCAACCCCCACCCCACCCCCATCACCTACCCTGGGTTTCATCCCCTATTAGAACTTTAACTGCTAGGCATGGTGGTACAGGCCTGTAATCCCAGCACTCGGGAGGCTGAGGCAAGAGGATTGTCTTGAGTTCAAGACCAGCCTGGGCTACAAAGTGAGCGCAAGTCCAGCCAGAACTGCATAGCGAGACCCTATCTCAAAAAAAGACAAAGAAGAAGAAGAAGAAGAAGAAGAAGAAGAAGAAGAAGAAGAAGAAGAAGAAGAAGTAGCAGCAGCCCCTGGGGATTTAGCTCAGCAGCACAGCGCCTGCCTGGCAAGCGCAATGTCGTGAGTTCGATTCCCAGGACTGGAAAAAAAAGAAGAAGAAGGAGAAGGAGAAGAAAAAAAAGAAGAAGAACTCTAACTCCATGCCCAGGAAAAACCCAGTTCCCTATAGGGCTCTAAGAGCTCACCACTCCCACACCCTGGTACCTGTAAATGTCTCAGTGCAGGGTGTGATGCCTGCTAGCCGCTTGGAGGTGCCAAAGTCAGAAATCTTGAGCAGCCCACTGAAAGTGTTGATCAGTACATTGTCCCCCTGAATGGAGTGGACATTGTGCTTAGTGGACACTGGGATGGGTCCTTGACACAGAACTGGACACCCATCCTAGGACCTCATCTCCTGGGGACCCCAGCCTGGCCCGTCCTCTGTCAACGCCCTTTCCCACCCATCCCACTTATCACCTTTCTGGGAGCTGCTGCCTGCTTTTGTTTCAGATCTGAACCTCTCCCTTAGAGGAAACTCCCTGATGATTTCCTCACTTTTGCGAAGGGCCTTCCCACTGAATGTACACCGCCAGTCTCCCTCTGGAACCATGGCTCCCCAACCCCAGCAGGCCAGGTGAGCCAGCCCCTGGGCCCACCTTGATGTCCCGGTGCACAATGCGGTTGTCGTGCAGGTAGCTGAGTCCCTGCAGGATCTGGCGGGTGTAGAAGCTGATAGTACTCTCATTGTCCTTCAGGGGTCCCCACACTGAGCGCAGCAAGGAGGACAGGCTGCCTGGGCAGGTACAGTCCGAGTTCACGGTTGGCACGCACTGCACTCACATCTTTGTTCAAGGCCCAGATACACCCACACCGTGGCCCAGACTCCGTCACCCGACGCCAGTCTGTCAGCCAGTTCTGGGCACAGCCACCCACACACGCTAGGGTTCATTCCCCCCTGGGGTTCTCCGACCTTCCTGACTCCACACCTGTGCCCCACACCTCGGGTTTCACTCCCCTCCCACGCAGAGCAGGTACCTCCGGGCACTTCCTCCATGAAGATCTTGAGGTAGCCGCCCTGGCTGGCGGAGCCCAGATAGCGCACGATGTTCTTGTGGCGCAGGCGTTTGTGGAGAGCAATCTCTTCGTGCAGGGGCTGAGAGAATCTGCGGGAGGGAGGGAGCGAAGCTGCCTGCCGGGTCCTGCCACAGCCGGGCCACGCCCCCGGACCCGCCCCCGCCAAGCCCCTCCCACATTTGCCACCCTTATCGCCCCGCCCAGAGGCCTCCGCGGGCCTCAGCCCCGCCCTGCTGTGGACCCCAGTTCACAGCCCACGGGAGCCTCTCAACCCTTGCATCCCGTAGCGGGCCCCGCACACCGCACCTGCTGTCCCGCTCGGGGATCTCCTTGATGGCGATGCGCACCCTCGTGTGCCTGTCGCGGCCTGCGTACACCACGCCGTAGGTGCCCTTGCCCAGCACCAGCCGCTCGCCGTTCTCCGTGTATTCATAGTCAAACTGCGGAGCGTGGGGACGGGGTTCAGCACAGCCCTCAGCCCTCTGCCCTCCTCGAACCCCCAATCCCACGTCCTCACCTCGAGCACCTCCCCCACGCTGCCCGCCTCCTCCGCGGGCGCCGTGGAATCTGGATTCTTCACCAAGGCCTGGATGAGGCCGCAGAACCTGGGAGCGGGGCGTGGCGGGGGCGGAGTGAGACCTGTGGGAGGGGCATCTGGGGCCGGCGCGACCGCCCCTCCTCACCCGGAGCACCCCAGGGAGACATGGTCCCTTCCTTTCCCTCACTCCCCTGGGCGAGTGGCCCAGAGTACCCGGACCGGAAGACTGAGCGCACCACTGGCAGTGCCCGACGCTGGGGAAGCACAGCTGGACGTCCTGGGCCGGAGGAAGCGCGTAGAGGAAACAGCAGCGCTCGTCGCGCTTGGAGGCACTGGGAAAAGAAGGGGCCGGTGAGGGCAGGGGACAGCAGGGCCGTCTGGCGGCCACACGCCCTCCAGGATCGGCCTCTCACCTGACTCCGCAGATGGAGGCCACTGGGAAGGTCCAGCTGGAGGGCTCCTCCTGCGAGAAGAAGGGTTGAAGGGGAGGGGCGTTGGGGAGTGGAGAAAGACTCGAGGAAAGAGGTGCACAGCCTAGAACCAGGGGCCACCACTCACCTGCGTCTCTGGCTCCAGCAGGCGAAGGGTCACAGCGCTCACGGGGCTCATCCCCTCAACCTCAAGCCTTGCGGGCAGCAGCACTTTGTTCATCTCAAGGACCAGCACCTACGGCGGCAGCAGGGGAGAAGGTGGGTCAGAGGGGTTCAGCCCTCTCCCTGGGTCCCACTCCCACAGGCCTCACCGAGCACTGGTTTTCCTGGGGACAGGGTGTCTTAAACGGCTGGCAGGACTGCAGCAAGAAGTGCAGCCAGAAGTGAGCACGCAGTAGGGGTCCTCCAGAGGGCTCTGGCGTGGGTCTGAAGTGCTGGTAGAGCAGGAAGGTCTCCATCACTGACACCAGGTACCTGGGGGCACAGTCGTGTCCTCAGCTCATGCTCAGGCACCATCTGCCACTGTGAGGAGGAGTAAACTGGCTTGGCTGTAGCCAGAACACGGGCATTGGTGCCATGGGCACTGGTCTGTAAGTGGTCAGGTCATGGCCTGTGGCTCAGGCTAAAGTGCTAGCGGACATGGGCGCAGGAGCCAACAGCCCAAGGCCAGGCCGGGAATGCAGAGGGGCCACCTACCATATGGGGGCATTGAGCTTGTACAGCTGCTCTGCAGCCAGCACCACCTGGATAGGGTCATTGGCAAGGATCTGGGCTCCCAGGTAGAAACCTACATCCCAGTAATACTGCATCTTCTCCACACAGCCTTTGCGGGCCAGCAGGCAGCCCAGCTTCATGCCTGGGGGAGAGGGGCGCAGGCTCCAGTGAGTGTGGGTGCAGGTGTGGGCAAGACCCAAACAGGGGGCACATCGCTCATGAACTTAGGTATGGATGGAAAGGTACGTGTGGCAAGATCTCAGGTGGGAGTAGGAGCCTGAGCGCAGGAGGTTTGGGAACAAGCAGATATGGGAGCCAGTGTGTAATGGGTACATGTGTGAGCTTGGGAATGGTTGTGAGAACCCCAGTGTGAACGCGGGCAGAACAGGCCACAAGGGATGAAGTTAGCCTTAGCTTCTGCCCGTGGTTCTAGCTCCCTGTCCCCTGCCCAGGGCCCTCTGGGCCCCACTCACCTATGAGCTGGAGCTCCTCAGAGTCCTCAAACTGCTGCCCAGCTGCGATGAGGAGCACAGCTGCGTTGATGCCGGAGTGCAGGCTGGGCTCCACGTCGAAGGCCTTGCGGTACCTGCGGCGGGGCCGGAGGAGGAGCCACAGAACTCGACGGATGCCCACAGCCCAGTTCCTCATCTGAGCAGCTCAGCCTTCCGGCCCCTCCCTTGTGCCCCTCACCAGTGATAGGCCTGCTCCAGGTGCCCAGTATCCTGGAAGCCGGAGCTGAAGAACATGTCCTTGTAGACTCGGCCACACATGCAGTACAGATCAGGCGCCACAGAGCCCTCGAACTGTACCAGGGGCAGCAGCACAGCAAGTGCTTTCTCCCGGTCCCCAGGCCTGTTCCTCCTATAGCAGGGGAAAATGGGGTAAGGACCTACCGGATGGCCCTGACCCTCTCTGTCTTGGGACCCCTAGGTCCTAAACAGGAGGGTCTCCTCCAGGGGTCTGACGGTGACCCTGAAATGACACTGAACCTGGCCGGCACTGATCTCTTTAGTGGTAGTGACCCCAGATAGAAGTGGTTCCTGGCTACAGTGGCTCTAAGGAACTGTTGTGACCGTACCAGGGTGTATTGCTTTCCCTGCCCCCAGACAGCAGGAACCCAGAACAACAGCGACCCTCTGACATCAGTACCCTGCTCAGCAGATTCCCAGAAGAGCAATGGACACAGACAGCAGTGATCTCACAGAACAGAAATCCCGGCCACAGAGCCTCGTGTGGCTCTGACCCACGCCCTGCCCTAGCACGCACCGGTTGAGAGCAAATGTGTAGTGGAAGCAGACATTGTGCTGCTCGGCCACGTCACAGGTGGGCAAGGCCTGCAGCGTCTCCACCAGGTCAATGATGGCTGAGTAATCCTGCACGAGGGAACAGCCAGCCCTAGAATGACCAGCCTCAGGCCCTGAGCACCCTGATCTGGGGTCCTGTCACCTCCCTCTCCATCCTCTCTGCACACCTCTGTCAGGCCCTCAAAGCCACCAGGGGCCCACACTGGGTGTTTCCCACCTACAAGTTCCCTGGAAGCAGTGACATCATCATCCCCTATGACAAATCAGAAAACTGAGGCTCACAGAAGTTAGATAATTTGCTCAAAGCCACCAGCAAGCAAGGGACACACACAACTGCTGAACTGGGTTTGCCTGGTAACAAAGTCCACCACCTGCCCGCCTCCCTGAACGCCACAGACCTGCACATCGCGGTAGGACAGCAGCAGGTTCATGATGATGTCAGGGCTCAGCAGCTCCACGCTGTCCAGTCTCCGCTGCAGGCGAGCCAGCTCCTGCCGAAGCTGCTGCCCACTGAGCCGCTCCCGAGCCTGCCGGATAGCCTGCCGAATGGTCTCCCGGAAATAGCCACTGATGCCCAGGCGGGAGAGGGAGGGAAAGAGAATGGTGGGCCTGGCCCTCGGCCCAGCCTCGTGCTGGTGCACCCTCCCTGAGAGCCCCCATTACCAGGAGTCCGTGGAAGTGGCCTCCAGCAGGCAGGCAAAGCGGCCCACCAGGGGAGTGAGCAGGGCCTCGGTGCCCACCCCAGCCTGTACCAGCCCGTCAGCCAGGCCCTTCAGGAGGCCGACATCACCACACAGCACCCGACCAGTGGCTGTCACCACATAGGGGATCAGTGTATAGCTTCCAGCACAGTCCTGGTGGGAAGGAGGCAGGAATTAGTGGGGTCAGAGGTTGGCACAGAGCTAGAGAGGAGCAGGGAGGAGGTCTGAGGTTAGCATCACTGAGGATTAGAATAGCAGGAGAGGACCACACTTCATAAAGGAGATTATAGGGAACAGAGGGCCACATGGATGCCAAGGGGCCTTCATGTCAGAGGTAACTGAGGAGGGCAGGAAGATTAGTAGAGGTCAGACGTTACAGCAGAGGTCAAAGAGCACAATGGAGTGAGGGATGGGTTCTGCTCACCGAGTTCTTCTGGAAAATATCCTCCTGCAGGAGGCAGACAGTCAGATACTAGCGTTCTGGGTAGGCCTTACCCCAACCCTGCATCTGTCCCCATGAGCCACCCGCCACCTACACGCAGGGCCTGCAGGTCAGGGAGGTCGGCCTGGGAGCAGAGGAGCACATTGTTGGTCATGCTGAAGCTCTCACGCACGGCAAGGTGGTAGAACAGGGAGGGTTGTGCCAGGGAGCCGCTCACCTCCACCACCACCACATCTGTGGGCAAAGAGGTGCAGGCCCTGAGCCCCAAAGGCCTGCTTGGTGGAGAAGGAGACTGGGGGGGGCGCCTTCTGGCCCCCACCTGCCTCGCCGTGGGACTCCAGCCAGGCCCGACTCTGTTCCAGGCCTGTTCGCTTTGTAGAGTGCCCAGCACGTCCACAACACTGACAGCTGTGGTGCTGCGGAGGAGGAGCTGGGCTCCCTGGGCTGGGACCCCGTGCCAGCTGCAGCTCTGTGCCGGGAAAGGTGGGCCGGGAGTGTGCTACAGCTCAATCCCTGTTCCTGAGGCTTCGGTGGGAACCAGCAATGGCGCAAACAAGAAGTCCCCTCTCCTGGGTCCTCCCAGTCTCTTGAAAGCAGCTAGCACCATTAGAGTGTGCAGACAACGCTGGGCCTGTGTGTGTGTGTGTGTGTGTGTGTGTGTGTAACGCACTGTGTCCCACTGTGTGACAGGGTCTGCCAGGGGCTGTGTGAGTCAATATGGATGTGATTTGTGAGTTGATGACTCTGTATGCGTCTTTGTGTCCTCGTGGTCGGGTCCGCCTTCATTTTTAGGCTGCAATTTCATGGGATGTCCAGGAAGCACAGTTCCCGGACTCTCAGGCGAACAAATAAGGATGGAGCCAGGCGGGGGTCCGGATTGGCTGAGCAAGTGGTGATCAGCGCGGGAAGAACCGCCTCCTGGCCCCGCCCGGCCCCGCCCCGCCCACTCTTGGAGGCTGCATCTTGAAAGCCAAATTGCCTCGCTCGGAATCCAGACCGGATGGGTCTTTGGCTTTCCTTTCCGCCTCTTGAGCCCGATCATTGGAAGTAGTAATACTAGGACCTCTAAAGTCCAGCCCGTCAGGAACGGGACCCACCTTCCCCAGTTCACGTTCCCCGCCAGGATTCGCCCTCAAAAGCTCCACGAGAGGCAGAGGGCTGGGGCGCACGCTTGTAATCCCAACATTCTGGGAAGCTGAGGCAGGAGCATCACAAATTCGGGTGTCACATGGACAATTTCGCTAGACCTTGTCTAAGAATTTTAAAAAGAGCTAGGGATATAGCTCAGGGGGAAGGCCCTGGGGTTCAATCCCCAATACCAAGATAATAAAAATCTCCGCGTGGTATCAACCGAAGTTTGAGTTCTCCAGCGCCCCCTGAGAACCACAGTCCGGCCCTCTCTTAGTCCCGCCCCGGGGTTTCTAAGCCCGGTCCCATCCCAACCCGCTCGGAAAGCATGGCCTGCACTGCACTGTGCAGCCCTGAGCTCTGGAGCCAGGTGAAGCTCCACATCCAATCCTGAGCCCAGCCGGCGAGCAGCCACGCTCCGGACTCGCCTAAACTCCTCTGCAGTCCCAGCCTGGGGTCCTTTAGCTTTAACTCGGGTAGATCCCCAGACCCCGCACCCAGCTAGGCCCCGCCTCCGCCCCGCCCCCGCCCCGCCCCCGCACTCACCCGCATTGTAGAAGGAATCCAGCGCGGTGGTGTCACCCAGCGCCAGGGTCGCAAAGGGCAGGCTGCGCAGTTGTGGCGGCGGCCGAGGCCCCGAGAGCTGCGCACAGGCCTCGCGCAGGCAGCGCAGGGGCAGTGGTTCCGCCTCGGTTCCCGCCCCAGGTTCCACCTCGGGCCGCGGCTCCCGCGTCAGCACATAGACCACGCTGAGCGGCCGGCTCCGCGCGCAGCCCCGGCCCGGGGGCGCAGCGATCGGCCTGCCCCGGCTCAGCGCCTCGGCCAGAGGGTCCTGCCAGCAGCTGCCGGCGCGCTCCAAGGTCCCGGGCCCGGGGCACACCCCCGCCATGCGGGGGCGCTCAGGCGCCTGGCGCCTGGAACCCGGGCCGGGGCAGGAGCCTGGCGCGGCGAATCCAGGGATCTCGGGAGCCGGAATCCAGTCGCGATCCGAGAATCTCCTACAGGATCTGGGTGTCCCAGAGACTGGCCGGACGTCCCGGTTCGGAAATCTGGTGTCCAGCGGAGAAATCAGCTCAGACTTTCAAGGTCCTTGAGGATCTCAAATCCAGGACTGGGTTCCGGGAATCGGGTACCCGGCGATCCGCAGCTCAGAGTCAGTGGGAGGCCCGGGAGTAGAGTTGGCAGTGTCCTCCACCCGGACCTCTCTGGGAAGCGCGGGCAGACACTCAGCCCTGCCCTCACTTGTAGGCCGGGCCCAGCCCTTTCCCCGACCGGGAAAGCTCCACCCTCGGCCCTGGGGCAGCGCCGCTCCCTGGAGGCTGGGGACTCGGCCTATCCGCACCCTCCTCTCCCGCCAGAACTCTGACACTGGCCGCTTCCGGAACAGCCTGTGCCCCTGTTCACGCCAACCACTGTGCACTGCTCACCGCAGGCGCTCCTAAGATGTGTGTCCAGGTCTGAGATAGGGAAAAAGTGGGATCTGCAGGCCCTGCCCTGCACGCTCTGCTGAGTGAGCGCACCTCAGAGTATCAGGTGTACAGACGCGGTGCTGAACAGTGGGCGTCCAGAACCCTTCAGATCCAGCTTCGGAGCTCTTGCCAGGGGGCTGCTTGCCCCAGAACTCCTCCTGCTGTGGAGCCCTGCTGACCTTTGACTCTACCCAGAACATGGCAATGGAGCCTGAGAAGCACTTCCCACTGTAAACTTCTCTCTACCCACTCTTTGAAGGAGGACCCCAGAAACCTCAGCCCTTCGCGCTACTGGTACATCCCAACTTCAAATCCCCCAAAATTTTTAGTATGAATTAGTGACTGAGGCAACAGGCTGATTTAAACCTCAGTGGATCTTGCAATCAGGACCTGGGGAAGAGGTTGAGTAACTTGTCCAGGATCAGTCAGCTACAAGACAGAGCAGGATGCAAACACAAGACGACCTGTCAGCCTCTTAATTATTTGCTTCTGTCGCCATTTAATAGTGATGTGGCTTTGAGCAAATGAACTGCCCAAAGCCACAAAATAATTGCTGGCTTGGTGACTGCTGTTTCATTGCTCTCTGGCCTCATGGAAGAAAAATGCGCCTTCCTTGTTTTGACCCTGAGTTCAAGCCAGCTCCTCACGGGGTAAGCAAGAAGCAATAGGGGTGAGAACTTGGCCCATAACAGAGGTTGGAGTGCAAAACAAATAACTTACAAGGACGAGCATGAGCAACAGAGTGTGAGAAAGTTGTGCAACTCCTGCCACAAAACTGTCCACTTGCCTGGGCAGAGAGGTGCACACCTGTAATCCTAGCACTCCGGAGGCAGAGGCAGGAGGATCAGCGCAAGTTTGAGGCCAGCTACGTAGTGAGCTATGTAGGAGTTCAAGTCCAGCCTGAACTACATAGTGAGACACTATCTCAAAAAAAAACAAAAACAAAACAAAACAAAACAAAAAAACTGTCAACTTGCAGGACCCAGATGACTGGGTGACCAGGAATATTGTCAGAGGATGCTTGAATTCCTTCTAATCCTCCCACTGGATGCCCCTATGGCCCTCTCCTGCACACTCCCAGAGACAGAAGCCTCATTACCTTAGAAGGCTGTCCCTTCCATGTTCCTGACTGGAAGGCAGTTGGGAGAGCTATGGGAACTTAGGTCTCTGCTCTGCCTTATCGTGTTTTGCCCAGTAAGTGAAAGAATCCCAGAAGTCAGGAAAGGGTTAAAGTGATTTATTTTTAGATGTGGACAGGGAAGCAGAGGCGGTTGGCTGTGGGGAGGTGGCTAAGGATCCGGAAGCTGTACAGAAGAGATAAGGGCACTGCCTGTGAGGGGGCCCTAGCGAAGCATCATCCGAACCTTGCGGTAGGGGCGGCCCACGCCTCGGCCTGAGGCCCAGTCAACACTATACTTGGAGGCAGTGGCTTCGGACACCGCGTAGAGCCCATTGAGATTAGATCTGTAGCAGGATCCGTACCACCAGGCACCATGGACAATCACTGCACAGTTGCCCTCTCTTGAATCGTGGTCGGCATCAAAGGTGCTAAATGGCTTCCCATTGTGGGAGCTCAGGGAGTCCCCTGCAGGGAGAGGATGGAAGGTAGCTTAGCACCCCAAACTGTGCCCAGCATTCCTGGAGATTTTTTACCTTGGAGATGTTATCAGGCCCCTGAAACAAGAACAGCATCGAGGGGTCAGGATGTTTGCCCAGAGCCACTCAGCTAGTCAGTGGTAGCGGGACTTGAACTCAGGGCTGTCTGGCTCCCAAGCCACCAGCTCTCGCCCCTGCCTTACCCCTCCAGAATCCCCAGCCTCACTCTAGTTTCTTCGTCTCATCACAGTCCTGGTCAGCAGCCTGAGCAGCTGTGCCAGCAGGAAGCCCTTGTGCGCCTTGGAGATGAAGGGGCTCCCGTGAGGCCGCTCCCCATAACCACTTCCGCCTTTCAGACCGCCCCTCCCACCAGCGTTCACTGCTGCTCTGAAAGAAGCCTGCCCAGGTTCCTCTGCCAGAGCAGACAGCCTAGGGGTGCACCCACACCCACATGCTGCCTCCTCACCAGTTCTACAGAGGAGGAAACTGAGGCCCTGCTGGGGAAGGGACTTGCCAAGGTCACATAGTTAGCAAGTGGCAGAGTTGGACTCAAACTCCTTTTTCTTCTAAGGCCCCAGTTCTTTCCCTCCTGGGCCATCTTTCCCCAGGATTGCCATTTCCCACATGTGGGAACTGAGGCCCACCAAAGGGAAGACATTGGGCTGGGTCCTTCACAGAGGTAGTGGCAGCGCTGGGAAAGAAGCCAGCTTCCACCCCGACCCCCTCTCCAGGCTGCACGTTACGAGCTCACTCACCGGCAGTGCCCTCTGAGAACTTGCCCAGCGCCAGCTGGTAGTGGTCTTTCTCTCCGAGAAGGCGGAAGGTCTCATAGCGGGCAAAGGTGCGATTGCCAATAAAGTCTTCCAGCTCTACTCGAAGCTCCCAGGTACCTGGGAGGAAGCGGAGGCTGGGAGCATGGACTCCTCAGGTCCCAAGCGGCGGTCTAGGGGGCAGGCCATACCCTGCAGGCCCCTCCACTGTGTAGGGAACTCACCCTGCAGAGTAAGCTGGTGCAAATTCTCATTCCCCAGCCAGAACTCGGACTCCTGGCTCCCAAAGCCTGCTTTGTAGGAAGACCACGGGCGGAAGAAATCCACAGAACCGTCCTGTCGCCTCTGGAACACCTGGGGAGCCACAGGGAACTGGCACCCCAGCCATGGCTCCAGCCACAGGGTGTGGACAGGAAGCAAGGGAAGGGGCAGTTGAAGCAGTGAGAGATGGGCAGGCGCTTCCCTTCTTTCGGCTGGGGGCTTGTAGATGAGTGTGAGTACTCCCAGTAAGCCATGCCTGTGATATACTGTGCTAGATCGCTTCCCTTATTAGCTAGCACTCCACTGCACACGGAGGCCTTGCAAGCTGGCAGGGGACTGAAATGACAGCAGCACTATTGCTGCCCTTGGGAGATGGTCAGTCCCCAGGGGACTCAGACTCAAAGTAACCTGCTTGAAATTACTATGTTTTTTTTTTTAATTTAAACTTATTTATTTATTTATTTTCTTTTTGAGGCAGGGTTTCGCTATGCAGTTTACGCTGGCCTTGAGCTCACTTTGTAACCCAGGCTGGCCTCAAACTCACAACGATCCTCCTGCCTCAGCCTCCCCAATGCTGGGATTACAGATGTGTGCTACCATGCCCGGCAATGTTTTTATTTTTATCATAGTAAATTCAAGTCGGGCATGGTGGCGCATGCCTGTTATCCCAACACTCGGGAGGCTGAGGCAGGAGGATCATTTCGAGTTCGAGGCCAGCCTGGGCTACAAAGTGAGCTCAAGGCCAGCCGGAACTGCATAAGAGACCCTGCCTCAAAAAGACAAAAAGACAAAAAAAGAAAAAAATCAAAACATTTAGCCAGGTGTAGTGGTGACACCTGTGACCCCAGCACCTGGGAGGGCTGAGGCGGGATTGTTGCAAGTTCAAGGTCAATCTGAGCTACATAATGAGACCCTGTCTGAAAAAAAGAAAAAAGAATTCCAATATTTAAAACAGAGATGTTACTCCCAGAGGCCCAAACCTGGACTTGACTTTATCCTGCTGTTCCCTCACCTTCCCCACCCAAGCCAAGCTGTCCTTCAGCCTGTAGTTTCCCTCCTAAATATTTTTAATCCAGGGCTGGGGATAAAAGTAAGTGCTACGGGGCTGGGGATTTAGCTCAGCGGCACAGCGCCTGCCTCGCAAGCGCAAGGTCGTGAGTTCGATTCCCGGTACCAGGGTGGTGAGGGGGGAGATAAAAGAGGGGGTGGGGATTTAGCTCAGCAGCACAGGGCCTGGCTGGCAAGCCTGAGGTCGTGAGTTTGATTCCCGGTACGTGGGGGAGGCAGGGGGGCGGGGGGGGGGAAGATAAAAGAAAACTTGGTTCTGTTCTTTATGTTTAGAGCCCGCGTGGTGGCACACGCCTGTAATCCCAGCACTTGGCAGCGCCTGCCTGGCAAGCACGATGTCCTGAGTTCGATTCCTGATACACCCCCCAAAATACTTTTTAATGCAAGTATCTCTAATTCCACTGTTGTCACTTTCCACTGTCAGTACTGTACGAGTCATATTCACAATGCAATTAGGGGTCTGAGTTCTAAAGGGTGCTTTGTCCCAATGGGCTCTAGCTCCCCCTAGGGGCCGAGGGGAGAAGTGACCACTGGGCCTGGCCTGCTAGCCTCCCCAACTCACCAGCCAGCCGCCCCCTGCAGTGTCCATGTCACAAAAGACTGGGAGGACTCTGCCCTCAGGTAGGCACAAGTGATACCAGCCACTCAAGGTGGCGCCCCGGCTCAGCAACTCCTGACAGCTCGTGGGGCCTGGGAAAGGGGGGATACAGTGGGTGGGGTGGAAGCAAAATTATTTCCCAAACCCCTCCACCCAGACACTGGAACAAGTATGGGACTCCGGGAGGTCTTCTGAGTCCCTCGGGGTCCTGAAGAGGAGCTCTAGGGAGGGCTGCGGGGAGGGGTGGGGCCACATCCTGGGCCCTGCAACACCAAGGCGCTGCCTGATTCCAGGTTCCTGGCTCCCACTGAGGCGGCTCTCACCCTCCTGGCACCGGAGCAGGCTCACTGGATCTCCTGTCTCAGGGAAGGAGCAGGTGTTGGCTCTGCGGTCCAAGCCCTCCGAGTGGGGTGGGGGCTCAGGCCCTTCTCTGAATTCTCCCCACTCTTCCCGCCTCCCCCCTCAGCGGGTGGGCAGTCACAGCCCACTGCTGAGCAGCAGCCAGAGACATCTCACCCTCTAGTCTGGGGACAGCAAGGCAAGGAAGGGAAGCCCCAGGCCCAAACACTCACCTGGCTCGCCCTTGGGACCCATCTTGCCCGGCGGCCCGGGGGGCCCTGAAATCCCAGAGGCAAAGATACCCTGAGTCCTGGCTTATGTGCAGGACTAAAAAGACACAAGGGACTTGGAGCCAGATGGTCCAACCCCATTTTTACCCCTTCCTGTCTCTGTTTTTGTTTTTTTGGTTTTTGTTTTTCTTCCGGTACCAGGAATTGAACTCACGACCTTGTGCTTGCCAGGCAGGTGCTGTGCTGCTGAGCTAAATCCCCAGCCTCCTTCCTGGCTCTGTTTAGAGGCAAAAATTGTATCCTCTCTGAGCCTCAATTCCCTTCAGCAAAATGGAGGCAATACCACCTACCTGGAAGGTTTTAGGGTGCTGGATGCTCGCCCATCTGGTGCCTGGCACAGAGGAGGTTCCTCAGCCTGGACAGCAGCTGCTGCCTTCCCAGCCTCCCAGGTTACCCCAAGGGCCCTGCCAGCTCCCCAGATCTCTCACCTTGGGGACCTGGCACTCCCTTCTCCCCAGGACTTCCTGGGGTTCCAGGACAACTGGGCAAGAGAACAACTTTGCTGGCGTCCAGTTCCCTGGGTTCTGCGGGGAGACATGGGGCCGGTGGGCACAGGGTAGGCGTGTCTCTCCCAGAGCCCTCTACAGTTTAGTCCCCCTTCCCACATTCCTGCCGGCAGGGTGCTTCCTGAGGGTGGGTAAGGGTTTGCACGATTTCTATCCTATGTGCATATATTTGCATACAGAATTCAAACTCTCACTCTGCTCCTTGGTGCAGGGAGGGGTTCAGAGGTGGGTTGATTGCGAGAGCAGCTTCAGCCCCTACCTGGGCATCTGGGGTGTTCCTGGGTCCTCAGGCAAGCAGGCCCCCCAAATAGGAGGAACAAAGACAGCGGGGTCCACAGTAAGCCCATCTTGCTGGGCTCACCAGCGCGAGGATTCCAGCTTTTATAAGGAGCCAAGATGATGTGAGGACATGGAGCAAAACTTCCTCTCATTGTCCCCAGGGGACACCCCACCCAGGCCGGAGCCACCAGGGGGTGAGACATTTCCTCTCGCAGTCCTAGAGAGAACAGGCATTGTCCCTGTCCTGTCCAGCCTGGCTTCCACGCATCCTAGCCATCTCCCCAGATCTCTGCATTCATATGAATTTTCCTGTTTATTTATGACACTGGGAATTAAACCCAGGGCCTCACACAAGCTAGGCAAGCAGTCTACCACTGAGCTACCTCCCCAGCACTTTTTTTTGAGACAGAATCTTGCTAATTTACCCAGGCTGGGCTGGAATTTGTAATCCTCCTGCCTCACCTGCCCAGAGTGCTGGGATTACAGGCAAGTGCCACCACCCTCACCCGATTTTCTCACCTTTAACCTTAGCTCATTTTGTGCCTTCCATCTGGAATTCTTTTTCATCTCCACCTGTCCAGGAAGATTCAGCCCTAAAGCTGTCTCAACTGTCTTGGCCCTCCCTGCACCTTGTCAACACTATCACTAGTGCCCACTGCTTAGAGCACTTGCCTAGCAGGTGCCGTGCCCTGGCACCACAAAAAAAAAAAATAGTGACCATTGCTACTATTTATGAGGCACTGCTGCACTCAGAGGTCATGCTAAGTGTGGGTTGTACATCACCTCTGACCCTTTGTGGACTTGCTCTTGGCTTGGGTTACATGCCTGGACCAGAGCAGGGGCTCCGAGGCCCAGTCAGCTCTCTAAGTGGAAGCAGGTACAGCGTGGTGGTACAGCATGTGCTTTTTGTATGCACAAGGCTCTGAGTTCCGTGCCCACACCAGAATATGTATATGTTTAATACCTATATACTTACGTATTTTTTAAATTTATACATTCCTCTGGGGTTTGGGGGAGGTTGTTGTTTTTTGTTTTTGAGACAAGTTCTCCTGTGTAGTTCAGGCCGGCCTTGAACTCACTGTGTATTCCACTCTGGCTTTGAATTCGAGAAAATCCTCTCCTCTGCCTCCTGAGTAGTGGGACTACAGGCGTAGGCCCCCATACCCAGCATATACATGCATATGTTAAATGAATTAAGGAGAAAATCTGAAGCCCAGAGGTGGGACACGACTTTTGCGGACTCTGCCACTTACAAGCCCAGAGCCACAGAGTTCTTACCCAAGCCCCATGCTACACCAGGCAGAAGCAGCTTAGGAAGGTGACTGCATAGCCCAGCTGGAGTCCCCTGGGGCCCGGGATACAGCTGCTAAGGTAGGCCGGATGTGGGCAGCTCTGCTGGGGGCCTGGAGACAGCAGCCGTGGTCCAACTGGGAGGGGGGAGGCCTGAGTTGGAGCCAGGACCTCAGGCACTAGGGGAGGAGAGAGTCTGTGACTTCTTGAGGGCCTGTCCTACCCTAGGCCTAGTGCTGGTGGGGGCAGACACGGCCGATGTACACACAGGTGTCAGAGGAGGCGGAGCCTGGATTTGCCTAACAGGAGGGGTCTAGGACTTTGTTCTCCCTAAACCCCTGCACACTAGGGTCTGCAAACCAGCCTGTTCAACCTGCTGCTTAGGGATGTGGGGAGTCGCTCAGTGGTGAGCACTTGCCCATTATGCCGGAGCCCTGCTTTCATCCCTAGCACTCCCCTACACACACACAGACAACAAATCAGTGTGGAAATGACCCAAACAGCCACTGATAGAATCCAGGCAAAATGATGACCATCAGGTCACAGGTGGATCTGATCTGTAATGACGGCAGTGAAGTCACAGAAGACCATGTGGAGCACGATCCCACTTTGTGTTGTAACAATGCTAACTATGTGTGTATATATAGTAAATTCACAAAGAAAAGTCTGAAACATACTGTTTATTTATTTATTTTTTGGTCTCTTTGAGACAGGGTCTCACTATGCAGTTCAGGCTGGCCTTGAGCTCACTTTGTAGCCCAGGCTGGTCTCGAACTCACAAGGATCCTCCTGCCTCAGCCTCCCAAGTGCTGGGATTACAGGCCTGTACCACCACGCCCTGCTTGAAACATACTATTAACTGTTTTGTTTTGTTTTGTTTTGTTTTTAACCCCAGTACTGGTGATTGAACCCAGGGCCTTCACACTGAGCTCATCCCAGTCTTTTTGGTTTTTGTTATTTGTTTAAAGACAGGTCTTGCTAAGTCATTAAACTGCCTGTGTTGGGCTCAAACTTTTAATCCTCTGATCTCAGCCTCCCAGAATACTGGGATTGCAGGTGTGGGCCACTAGACCCTGCCCTTTTTTTTTTGAGACAGGGTCTTGCTGTGTAGTTCAGGCTGGTCCCAAACTTGTAGCAGTCCTCTTGCTTCAGCCTCCCAAGTGTTGGGATTACAGGGATGCACTCTCACTCTTTATATAAACCTCTGTGTAGTCCTTTTCTCCCCTCAGTCATTTACTTTTTTGGGGACAGGTCTCACTATATAGTCCAGGCTGGCCTCAAACTCGCAGTAATCCACCTGCCTCAGCCTCCTGAGTGCTGGGATCACAGGCATGCCCCACCACACCCAGCAAATTTGCAACTTTTGCAAGAATAGGAACATTCAGTAAAAGAAGGTAAGAAGCTGGGCATGAAGCCAGGCGTGGAGACACACATCTATAGACCCAGCACTCAGAGGCTGAGGCAGGAGGATTGCTGTGAGCTCAAAGTCAACCTGAGCTATATAATGAGTTCAAGGACAGCCTGATTTACATAGTGAGACCCTATCTTAAAAACAAAAGAAAAAAGAAAAAAGAAAAACATCCAGGCACGGTAGCACAGGCCTATAATGCAAGCACTCTGGGAAGCTGAGGCAGGAGGATAGCAAGTTCAAGCTCACCCTGGGCAACTCAGTGACTTAGCAAGGCCTTGTCTCAAAACAAAAAATAAAAAATGGGCTAGGGATGCAGCTCAGTGAAATCTCCAGTATCACAAAATATAAACACTTGGCAAAGCGACGAGGCAAGGCGGGATGGGAACAGGAGTAGAACCAAGGGGCTGGAGAGGTGC